AGCAGCTCTGAGCTTGCTCAATGCTCAAATCATTAACTTCTGTCACGTGTAATGGCTGTGTAAGAGCAAAGGTCACTAAATACACAAAAATAGAAAATCTATTTGTGGAAAATGAACATTTTTGAGCTAGTTTCCTGAAAACACCAAACTAGAAGGTTTTATTCATAATATAATATAAAAATAATCCCTGCATTTGATAGAGCGCCTCATCACATCCTTGAGATGTCTCAAACGCATCACAGAAAAAAATGTAAAGTGTGCTGACTGTGCATTTTGTGGGTGAGAAAAAAATTATTGTCATTTCCTTCCAGATTTCCGCTGAAATAGAACAACCGATAGAAACTGTGGAAGTGCCTGTTCAAAAGGAGTCCATTCCATTGGCACCATTGGCATCTGTGTCAATCAACCAAGCCCTCAAAAGAGGTACATTTTTACAAAGTAGTCATTTTAGTGCACATTAACAGCATTTCAATGCACAGTAAACCTTATCAATACTATCTAGTCTTCTGAGCAGTGAATGTGTTTGAAATATTGGACTGTGACACAGTGGGGAGTATTCTCACAAGAGACCCAGGGAGTTGCTGTTCCTATAAACAGATTGGACTTCAACCACGCTTAAAACATGTTTCAAAGGCTAGGTTTTATGGTTGGTTAGTCGTGAGATCCTTGAGCAATAGTAATCTATAGAATTACTAATGTGAGTTTGTGTCAAATCAAAATGCAAATGACATTTGATCAGTTAAACCTGATAGTGTAATTGACACAGAAATATTATAGCAAATGGCTTGCTACAGCATAATGATTTTCCTCCTAGTGTTTGATTGCAGTTACTCAGAGTGCATCTTGTTGTGGTACAAACCACCTGAGCCCTCTGACGAGCAGCCACTTCATCAAATCCTGCTGAGGGAATTTGACAACGCAGTCGAACATGCGATCGCCAAAGTCCGGAATCTGGATACCATCAGGGTAGGACGAGGATTGATCCAAATTCTCACTGATCATTTGCAAGCCATCAAGAAGGAAGAACAAAGGTAAAATATAATGTCATCAAGTCTTTAGGAAGCGCTAGAACCAGTTGTAGTGGATTCATCTTCCTGAGGAGAATATAGGGCAAAGCAAGTTGCATTATCATTAAAACTAGACATACTCCTTACCAACGTCTCTAGATCCACAATCCAAATCTACAGCTGATATAGAACTCTGCCACCCTCATCCTTACCCAATTCCACCCTTTGCAATGCTCATCACTCCAGTCCTAACCAGGCTCTCACCATTTTTCAATAAATTGACATCAGTGTCCTCCCCTATATCACGTCCTCCCAAAGTGAAAGGCATTACTGTGCAATTTTGTTGTTGTTGTCTTCTGCTCAGCCCTCTCCACTCAGCTAACCTGGCCCTCCATGTCACCAGCAGTGGCCGTGCCTTCACATCTACACCCCTAGTCTCTGGAACTCCTCCCTCTAACCCTCCATCTCACCACTTCTTTATCAGACTTTAAATTCCACCTAAAACCTACTTCTTCCACAACACCTACATCTGTAAACTATTACTTTTGGAAGAAGCACCTTTGGATTCATTCTGGAACTTGTGATTATGTATCGTAGAGAGATGGTTTTCCAGAATCGACAGGAGGAATTGACTCTTCTAAGGAAATGCTGCAAAACCCTGGTTTGTAATCTCCTGCCAGACTCCGTGTGGATGGTGAACTGTTACCAGCGATTACTGGAGGAAGTCATTGCAATAAAAAGTGAGCACCACTGCCGTTTGAGCTAAAACATAGAAATGCCTCACTGATCGCTGACGGTGATCTGACTGCAGGCTGGTCATTAATATGGTTATTTGCTCACAAATATACAGTTAATCTACTTTACAATACATTCTGTGAAGTGCCTTGAGACGTCACAACAATGTGATCAGGCTCTATATCAAATGCAAGGATTATTATTAATATTTCTGCAACCAAACTCTACAACTAAACCAGCTCAGCGGGTTTATTAGAAGAAACTCGCTCTTACCGCAATTGGAAATTAATGACTATAAAATTGTGGTCGCAGCAGCCTCTGGAAGGATCTATTTTGAGTAGAATCTTGTTGCGTGCCTCAGAACAGCCTGGGTCAGGTTTGGATACGAAGGGAATTGTAATCGTCATAATAGTCAGAGAGGGACCAAGGGAGGGATTGAAGAGGATTATCTTTAAAGAGAGTTCAGGGGCTTTATATGGTACCAGTCTGCTCCATCTCCTCCCTCCCACCACAGACACCAGATGGCCAGGAGAACTGGATCCCAGATAAATAAATGATTAGAATGATTCCAGATGCCTCCAGCAGCTGCCCATCATCCACCCAACCTTCTAAATCACACACAGCGTCTGAGTGAAGCTTATGAGCCTAAACAGTGAGTGTCACCAAGTAGTGAAGAGTAGGGGACATCAAAGTCAAAACCTGATCCTGACCTCATCCAAAAATTGACTTTAACATTGGTCCGGGCTCCTTTACGTGCTTTGCACTGAATCGTGAACAGGAGGGAAGCCTTGCCCAATCTTTACATTTTATTATTTTTAAAAATACGGAACCGTACGTCTTGAGGCAAGAAGCATCTATTTCCACAACATTCATTTCTGCTTCATGTCTTTTGCTTCCAACAGTTTTGGAGCCGATGATGAATTTGGCTTATGACCCAGATTTTATTAATCAGATGTTAATTGATCATTTGGATAAAGATTTTTCATCTAAACCCGAAGAAAAGGTGCCGGAACAGAGCACGGTAGATTCAACTCCAAAAACAGAAGAGAGCAAACCAAATGTGGTGTGAGTACAGTTAGAAGTGTATATTAGATTTTCTTCTCTCTCCCTTACAAAATTAAGTATTTCTGCATTCAGTGACTTACTTGCAAGGTTCCTCTCCTCAACTTCTAATGTGTAGGTGGCATGCATTATATGGAACTCTTTCTGTTTTGGATGCTCTTAAGCATTGTGATGGATTCCTCTTGTGTCCAAAACCTGGCTGATCGAAGCATAAAAGTACAGCTGCATATTCTTAAGTATGTAAGCAGGTTAGTCCCACTTGCAACAATCTTGTTGAAACACACTTACCCTCCTTTCCACATCCGTGGAGCTAAATTCCTAACATACCTTTCTTCTAAATATGGATTCGTACTTTTTCAGGTTCACTTTTCAGAGCATGCTAATGAAGGGGCTTGACTTAACTGAACATTTAACTGCTAACTATGCATAATAAACATTCTTGTAACTTTTAATAGATAGAACTAACTCACCGTTACATGACTGCTCAGATTGTATTGTTTGTGGATCACTAAAACTGCAGGAAATTCTGTTACTTGTTTCTAACATTATTTCCAATTATAAACAAGTAAGGAAAATATTTATGGAATCACTCTATGAGAGACTTCAATGCTTCAAATACTTTGTTTCTTACTTAAATTGTATGTTTTAGAGGACATAGGTAAGCAAATGTATCTCCTTTTTACTGCTATTTGCTTTATTGGAAACATGTAATTTTGTTCCAGTGAATTTGACACATTGAAGAGAAACAAGAAACATTTGAAACGCAAATGTGAGTAAAGTGTTGTTTTACAAATGTCATCCTTTTCATACTCTTGTGTATAAGATACCTGCCCGTCGTTCTGGAGTCCCGTTGATGTGAGTTGGAGCCAAGGCTCGGCATTTTAACCCAACTTCAAATTGATTGGAGGAACCAGTAAAGTTACAAACTAAGTCCAAAGTCCATATAAAATTTAAAAAAAGAAAAAAAAGATCTATTTGTCCAACAGTCACTTTGTACTAACCGGAATCATTGAACTACTCTTCGTTAATATTGATTGCTGTGCGCAATTGGTTGTCACGTTTCACCTACACAGTTCACTTGACAGTATATTCTGTGAAGCACTTTGAGACGTCTAGAAGACATGATAAGGCACTGTAGTAAATGCAAAGATTATTATTATTATTATTAAACTAATCCCATAACATCAGTGTATCATTTATGTGGAAGACATCAGATCTAACTCTTTGCTACAGTACAGTAGCGCAAAGAAAAATGTTAGAATCATTGATTTCAGATGTGTGCATTCACAAAAGGAATCCAGCAAACATACACAAATAATGTTCTGTTCTGGTCAGCCCCAAGTAGATTGATTCGAGTTCTTTTATTCTGTAATTTGCCTGTGTAGTGTCTTTATGCTCGTTTGTATTTTGATTTTTATTTTGATTGTGGTGTATTTCTGTTCAAGGGATGGACAAGCTGCGAAAATGGTTTGTCAAATGGTCCACAAAATCCAAGAAGATGGAGAATCGTGCAGTTAGTTCCACAATCTTTTACCCAGATGAAGTTGACAGTGACGAGGTTGAATCTGGAAACAACAACCCGCAGTTCAAATGCTTAACTTCCAACACTTTGGAATCAGACGTCAAAAGTAATGACTCTTCTGGTGACGAGGAGAATTTGACCTCTTTCCAGGAGGTCTGTTGGAAATAATATTTAATGTAATTGCAGCTTCAGAGTAAATGCCTCGTGTATTAAAATTGCATGCAGGTGTAACAAATTTCTCTCATTATGTTCTCTTGTAGAGGGGAGGCGTGTGTGTGTTGGAGGTGGTGGTGGTGGGGGCGGTGGTGGGGGGGACTGGTTACTATATTTTAGCCAAAATGATGAGTTAATCAAAATGACATATATTTCTACAAAGCCTCTGTTTCAGAACAACATACTTCTGCTACTTAATTGTTCTCTTACCTCCTGCTCCATACAGCCATTGAATATCCCTCTCATACTTGTTCAGTTTTCGGCAATGTGGGAGGGGGAGAAAATAATAGCTAAATGTCTGTTGTATGCTTTTTTTAAGAATGAAATACCTGAAGATGCGTTGCTCAGCGACACTATGTTTGACCTGCTCTCTGTCTGCGATATTCACGTGGAGAAAAGTAAATTTGAAGCGATTTTAACATGGATGATGACAGATGAGTCCAGTGACGATGATGAGGAAGTTGGAGTCGAAGATGGAGATAGAGTTAAAGATGAAGATGATGAAGATAGAGTTGAAGATGAAGATGATGAAGATAGAGTTGAAGATGAAGATGATGAAGATAGAGTTGAAGATGAAGATGATGAGGAGGCCAGTGATGAAGATAAGATGACTGAAGGAGATGAGGTAATCACAGGTGATACATACAGATGACCAGGCTTATAATTATATTAAACCTAAGAGTTTAGTGTGTGAGTAAGTTTAAAATAAATCTACTTTTCAGTTCAATCCAGTTCAAAACATGTCAATTTGACTTCATGTTTAATTGCTCAGCCCTGTCTGAATTTAATTCAAAAATCTTTTATTTTTGAATTTAACCAAACAGATTTTAAAGCCAGTTTTTATCAGAACAATGTTTTAAGTGATTAATTATACAAGTCGTGTCACCCAAAGTTACCCAGCAAGCTGTGATAGCAGAGTTGGAAATCACTATAGTTCATTCTAGTCAGGAAGGTTTCTTCGAAGAAAATTGAAATGGGATATACAGACCTCATTACTGAACATGCATTTCATGTTTCAAAGGAAGAGGATGGAAGCAGTGATTCTGAAGACCATTCTAGCACAGATACAGCTAATGCAGACTGTGAGATACCAGCAGACCCATCTGCAAACATTGAGGAAGATGGCATTGGTGAGACAACTGGAAACCAATGTGACAATAATACCAGTGATGTGCAAAGTAGCGAAGGGTCTTGCAGAATGGATCAAGAATCTGGGGAGGCGGAACAAGGGTCTGTAGCTTCCCGGTCGCCATTTGAAAATGCAGATTTAGAAGTCGAGAAAGAATTCAATTTCAGATCCCTCTCGTCTGCAACTGAAAGTACAAATGTGGACTTCACAGACCCAGACAGTGACGTGGACGGAAGAAAGAGGAGAAAAAAACAAAAGGTTTTTCAAAAATTGACACCTATAGAACAGCCTGAAAGTTTCAGAAAATGCTTATTTCAACTTTTGATGGAAATATTCAATGGAGGTAAGTTTCAACGTCAACCTTTTTTTAAAATCAAGATTACATTGAGCTTCTGCTGATCTGGAAAATTCCACAACTTTATACATCCGGTGTTCTCCGATTTCAAAATTAAGGCTGTATTGAAGAATTTGCCAAATGCTTGATGCTCGGAAATGCTAGAGAATAAACGTAGACCCAGGTGGAATTTGTGATGTAGATGTGCTACCCTCAGTTGGTACTGACATGCATCTTTTCTATCATAGAAGAATTCTGCGCAAAACTGATTCGATCCGGCATTAAATTTGAGTTTATCCTGAAATTCCTTGATGCGTAAGTCTATGGTTTCTTTATTTCAAAGCTAACAATTTATAGATGCCAACCATCTGGAATTGATGTGGTTACAAGCTCCACTCAAGCAATTTGTTGTTGTTGAATATTTAGTAACCAAGGTGCTTGTAGTCCAGAGTGAGGGGTGTGGGCTATCAGCTTTCTGTGTTTATTCTGCTGCAATAGAGAAAATATAAATCTATATATGAAGTCAGATTAAACCTTAAAATTTTTCAGTTGAGAACTTTGAACGTACCATACATTTCACAATTTTTTTGGTGTGCTAAGTAAATGTAAAGTCTGATTATGATGTTGCGCCTTCTAACATTTATATTTAACACGTGTGTATAATTTTGTAGATGGTTTTATAGAAAGCTATGCCATAAATTTAATAAGGACCGAATGATTCACTACATTGATTCTCTAAGAGAGAATCTCTGGCCTAATGGGAAACCGGCAAAGCCACTTCCAAAAAGAACCACTGAAGAAAAATTGAAAAACAAAGAAAAAGCAGAATTGGTAGTGAGCACATTTAAAGGTAAGAGTTTAGTTATTCACATTGTTTCCTTTTATTCCTTGTGTTTTTTTAGGTCCTCCTCCCTGTCATATGTTTCAATCAGTTACAAAAGGACAAAGTCTTCATCACTTCACGTCATTTCACTGTTAAGATAGTTCCTATTCCCTGTTTTGGTGCTTTTAGAAGCTGGAATTGGCATTATATATTTTGTGAGTTTCTTTGACCCATCTTGGATTAAGGTTGGAGTTTTTTTTTGTGATTTGACGAATTACGGACTTTAGGATGGGAGGAAACCAAAGATTTTTTTTTAAAAAAGTACATTTTCAACGATTCTCTACTGGTTGGCATTGATATTTTGTTGAGGTTCAGTCTGTCTGCTCACATCCTCAATATTGCAGCAATGTCTTTCCTTGTGTGTGTGGCAAACAGATCTGATCTTGGTATCACCTTCCAAGAAAATTGAAGGTTGACGTCAGTGACTTGGCTTACAGTCTACGTAAGAGTTTCAATATTTTGTTCCATTTCAGCTCCTCTTCCGAAAGAAGACATGAAAACGTTTTTGGGCAAATTTCAGGACGCGGAAATCAATAAACATCTCCTTTATGTGAGTACCATAAAATATTCCACATACTGTACTTTTCTGCTGATGTGCCTCCTCAGTTATTTGAGGTACAGTTTCGCATATCCACTCATCCTCTGCTACCTTGTCTTTCGTGTGAATCCAACCAACAGACTTGGTGCATCTATCAGGTTATCTTGCTATACATCTACAACCACAGATGCTCATGTACTCTGAGAAACACTCTGACTCCAACTCTGTTCCAATCACAGGAGGGTGAATCGAGTACACATTTTTTATTATACTGAAGTTTCTGAATATCTATTTCAATAGTTTTCTCTCTCTTCACCCCCCCCCCCCCCCCCATTCTCTCTCTTTCTTTCTATCTCTCTAACCAAATGACTGCCTCAAGGAGTCTCTGCTATTCTATCACATATTAGTAGAGCATCAACTGATATTTGTTTTTATAAAACCTAAAGTCTAATCTGGTTGCTTGTAGTAAAATGGAACAGTTATGTTCAAAAGTATCCCAGTGATCTTTCCAGTTTCTTTTTTATTCGAAAAAAGCCCTAAATGGATTACAACTGAAAATAGAATAAAAATGTTTTGCAGTTCTGTTGTGCAGGTGTGAGCAATATTAATGTCTGACTTTTCTTGTTTGCTTTGCAGAGAGTATTTATTTTTCTGTTGTTTGAAATCGACCCCGCAGGAAAGGATGCTTGGAATAATAAAACATTGCCTTGTTTGAAAATATTAAATGTCAACATGTTAAAAAAGTATTGACTGCTATAAAAGCAAACACTGTGAGAAGAGATCCCATCTTAAACAGCACACGATTCAAAAGCAAAGTAAGTCTTGAAAATTTAGAAGTGTACAATGCACTGTACAGATTGAAAAATGAAGCCTTTGACTCTCTCCCCAAATCTAATATTAATCAATACAGGCTGGTCTGGTCTGATGAAGGCAATGGAGTGCTTCTGAGCTCTATCAGAATTTCACCTTCCATTTCCTTCTCCGAGGCTGTTTCCTTGAGGTTACACAGGAACATAGGAATTGATAGAAAGTAAAGACCAAGGTCCATCTACTTTGCCTTCTACCATCTTGGTAGTCGCATGCTACAATAATAGAGATGTTGAAAGCAATTAATTCTGTATGACTTAGTCTACAGCAGAATGGAAAACTTTGGGTACCTTAGATCCAAAGTTGTCTGGTTCTTCCAAACCATACATATCGTTTTTTTTTAACTTTTAGGTACTTTAAAAGTCCATACTTCAGGATTATTTAATCACCATTTTCTTCCTAACATTCAGGATTATTTAATCACTATTTTCTTCCTAACATTTGGAAATTATGGGTGAGTAGCTCGAAGGGAAAATGTTGACACAGAGAATTGAACCCTTGATGAGATGTTTTTAATTCTTTTAATAACAGTGTGTTGGTGTTTCAATGTTGGACCAAGCATACTGATTTACTATTGCTGAATTTCCATGCCGCTGGACACTGTGTTTTCTGTTGTCTATTTCCTGAATAATCTATTTAATAAAGTGCAATTTACTTAAACATTTGCAGATATATGTCAGACCTTGGCTTCCCATTTTTACGCCTGTGATTCAAAGTGAAACAGAAATTCTAAATATTTCAGAAGGTCACATTGAGCCTTTTGGCCTATTTGGTTTCATTGTATTTTTCATACACTCAATTTAACAATGCAACATCATCGAAATATAAGCTCCGCTTCTAACTGTGGTTGTTTAAAACTACTTCTAAACTATGTATAATCCCTCCCATACCTTAATTTATTGCCTCTTACTATAGCTGCATTGACACATACATAACTAACACAATGGACAATGTTCCTTCACATGGGAGATGCCGCTATTCACTTCTCAAGGAAGTCAAGTCAATTTGATTTATATCCAATTGATGAGATCCTCGCTAACAATCTTCCAGATCAATTGGTCGTTCACTTCATCAATGCTAATGGGATCTTGCTGTGCGTACAATGGCTGCCCTATTTGCCTACCAATACACAGTCACTACACTTACAGTGATTAATTGTGAAGCGCTTCGAGACGTTTCAGCATTACAGACACTACATCAAATGCAAGTACTGTATTATTGTAATTCTGACTGGAGAGGAGCATAAATCTTGATGCATTTTTCTCTCCCTTAACTACAAGTCTCTTCTGTCATGCAATGCTCCATCTAGTGGTCCAGTCTGGAGATCATGAGCTCTTCTAATGGAGTAGGGAATGCTTAACCTTTTATCAAGGTTAAGAATAAAATTCACAACCAGTGGGATTGCAAGTTTGACACTACCACTGCAGCTAGGTCTTGCTCTGAGGTGCATAAACATTTCCATTTGTATTCGTCTTTCGAGTTCTGACTTTATCAGGAAATTGGGCAATGTCCTTGTCACATATTATGTCAAATAATTTTGTTTTAGGTACCTTCTCCCTGCATCATTGTGTCAGCTCTGCACTTTACGTTTTTGTTGCTATTAAGAGCGAGTACAGCCATTGGGGATCAATTGAGCAGCAGAATTTGTTACCGGTTAAATAATTATGAATGCTTTCTTGAGTTTCCATGACCTTGCATTTTGGATTTAGCAAAAAGAGTATGAAATCTGTAGGAGTATCTCTGCTGTTCTGGGAGAAGGTTGTGGGTTTAAGCCCCATGTCTGGACTTTGAACTCATATAGTCCAAGTTGATAGTCCAGTACATAAATTGTGCTTCATTGTTGGATGTGCTGTCCTTCGATGAGATTTTAAACAGAGTGTGCCTGTTCAGGTGACCTTAGGAGAAGCGGGTTTCTCCCTCTTGGTGTCCTGGCCAACAATCTCCCAAATAAAATTGTTCACTCACTCCATAGCTCTTTGTGGGACACTGCTATGCGCAAATCGGCTGCCACATTTTGCCCATAAAACACATAGTCACTGCACTTTACAGTATGTAGTATGTGAAGTGCTTTAGGGCATCTTCCTGATGTGAAAATTGCTATACTAAATGTAAGTATTATTATTTATTATAATTATTTGGCTCGAGTCCATTCTCCATAGCACTATACCCACTCCTCCTTGTTCCCAAGTCCATGTCGGATACCCACGCCTGAATGTTAACAAAAATAGTTACTCAAGAATAAAATTACATAAAACAAGGTATTTGGTGATGGGCAATGATTGGGTGCACGTACTCCCACCTAAAATGAGTCAGTCATCGCCTTCGTAAAAAGTTCAGAATCGGCAGCACTGGCGACAAAGCACTCGGAAGAGGAACGGGTTTAATGCGTCGGGAATTGGCCACTTCGTCCGGACTCGTCGTCTATTGCACGACGTTCTTTTTCTATTATTAATTCAGGACGACTCGCAGAGCCGAGCCGAGCAGAACGCGAAGAGGAAAAGGCACCGCGAGCTGGTCCGCTTGCTGTGCTGTTGCGAATCGAATCAATCAAATGAAATCAATCAAATCCAATCAATCAAATCCAATCCAATCGATCGATCAAATCAATCAAATCAATCGATCTCTTTGCAGACACTGTTTGGATCAGCTGAGATTTCTGCCTTTGTTGCGAGATTGTTGACCCCTATGAGTTGTCCCCCCCCCCCCCACTCCCCCCCCCCAACCACTCCCTCCCCCCCCACCCACTCCCTCCCCCCACCCACTCCCTCTCCCCCCCCACCCACTCCTCTTCCCCCCCACCCACTCCCTCTTCCCCCCCACCCACTCCCTCTTCCCCCCCACCCACTCCCTCTCCCCCCCACCCACTCCCTCCCCCCCCACCCACTCCCCCCCCCCCACCCACTCCCCCCCCACCCACTCCCTCTTCCCCCCCCACCCACTCCCTCTTCCCCCCCCACCCACTCCCTCTTCCCCCCCCACCCACTCCCTCTCCCCCCCCCACTCCCTCTTCCCCCCCACTCCCCTTCCCCCCCACCCACTCCCTCTTCCCCCCCCACCCACTCCCTCTTCCCCCCCACCCACTCCCTCTTCCCCCCCACCCACTCCCTCTTCCCCCCCACCCACTCCCTCTTCCCCCCCACCCACTCCCTCTTCCCCCCCCCCCCCCCCACTCCCCTTCCCCCCCACCCACTCCCTCTTCCCCCCCCACCCACTCCCTCTTCCCCCCCACCCACTCCCTCCTCCCCCCCCACCCCTCCCTCCCCCCCCACCCACTCCCTCTTCCCCCCCCACCCACTCCTCTCCCCCACCCACCCACACACACAACCCTCCCCCCCCATGACCAGTGGGAGGCGCCGCCGGGCAGAAAGGGGGAAGGGAACTGACGACGCGTTGTGGGGGGGGGGGGTCAGCCTCGTCCTTCGCTCCCGTGACCCCGTCAGTCAGCGGAGGCCGTCAGCAACTGCGCCGGTGGGTGGGGGGGGGGGGGGGGGAGAGAGTGGGCCAGGACGGCTGATGGTAAAAGCCAGTGAGAGAGAGAGAGAGAGAGAGAGAGATCGAAAATCACATGGTGGTGGGGGGGTTTAAAAATAAAATTAAAAATCGAGGAAAGAGAAAGAAAGAGAGAGAGAGAGGAGTGTGTGAGTGTGTGTGTCCCCCCCTCCCCCCGGCGGCCCGAATGGAGCGGTCGGAACGCTCCCGGGGACGTCGCGCGCCGAACCCCACAGTCGGGCAGCAATCGCCGGTGACGTGGAGGAGGCGCCGCCGCGTGCGTGCGCGCGCGCGCCGGAAGAAGGGGGGAGAGGGGGCGGGGCCACCACCACCAGCACCACCAGCGCTGAGAGGCCAAACCCCCAGAGCCCGAGCGTCGGTGTCGGTGTTTTTACCCCCAAAAAAAGAGGCTCTTTTTCTCTCTCTCTCTCTCCGCAAGAAATTATTATTATTATTTTTTAACCTCTCTCTCTCTCTCTCTCTTCCCCCTCTCCTCCTCTCCCCCCTCCCCTTCTCCTTCTCTCTCTCTCTCTCTTCCTTCCTTCCTTCCTTCCTTCCCCCCTCTCCCCCTATCTCTCTCTCTCTCTCTCTCCACCACTCACTTCCATCCCTTTCCCCTCTCTCATTCTCTCACTCGTTCTCACTCTCTCTCTCTCTCTCGCGCGCGTTGTACTTTTTTTCTTTACGTGACTTCCATCGGGAGGGTTTTTTTTTTGGGGGTGGGGGCGGGGGGGGGTTTTGTTGTGTTGTTGTTGTTTTTTTTAAAAAAAAACACACACACCCGACACACAACAACCAGTGAGAGAGAGAGAGAGAGAGTGAGTGAGTGAGAGAGAGAGAGAGAGAGAGAGGGGGAGGGAAAGAATATTAGAAAAAAAAGATGTCCACCCCGGCCAGAAGGCGCCTGATGAGGGATTTTAAACGGTGAGGAGAGGCTTTGGCGTGTGTTTTTACTCCTCTTCCTCCCTCTCCCTCTCCCCCCTCCTCTCCCTCCCCCCCCCCTCTCCTCCTTCTCCCTCTCTCCCCCCTTCTCTCCCCCTCTCCTCTCTCCCCCCTCTCCTCTCTCCCCTCCTCTCTCCCTCCCTCTCCCCCTCATCTCCTCCTCCTCTCCCCCCTCTCCTCCTTCTCCCCCTCCTCTCCCTCTCCCCTCCTCTCTCTCTCTCCCTCTCTCCTCTTCCCCCCTCTCCTCCTTCTCCCCCTCCTCTCTCCCCCCTCTCCTCTCTCCCCCCTCTCCTCTCTCCCTCCTCTCCCTCTCTCCCTCCTCTCCCTCTCTCCCCTCCTCTCTCCCTCCCTCTCCCTCTCTCCCCCTCATCTCCTCCTCCCCTCCTCTCCCCCCCTCTCCCCCCTCTCCTCCTTCTCCCCCTCCTCTCCCTCTCTCCCTTCCTCTCTCCCCCCTCTCCTCTCCTCTCTCCTCCCTCTCCTCTCTCCCTCCTCTCTCTCCTCTCTCCCTCCTCTCCTCTCCTCTCTCCCTCCTCTCCTCTCTCCCCCCCTCCCTCTCTCCCCCCCCTCCCTCTCTCCCTCTCTCCCCCCTCTCCTCTCCTCCCTCTCCCCCTCCTCTCCTCTCTCTCCCCCTCTCCTCTCCCCCTCTCCCCCCCTCCCCCCCTACACAACAACGACTTAACATGGCGCTCGCGTTTGACTTTTAAACATGGAAGCGCCGCTGCGGGCGGGTCAGGGAGAGGGAGTGTTTTATGTATATATATATCTATATATATATAGAAGGTTCTCACTCGGGTGGGGTCCCTCTCTGTGGTTACAGGCTGCAGGAGGACCCTCCCGCCGGGGTGAGCGGAGCGCCCTCGGAAAACAACATCATGGTGTGGAATGCGGTCATTTTCGGGTGAGTCCCTTTTCTCGCCGTTTGGCCATTGAGGGCCTCTCTCTCTGTCTCTCCCTCTCTGTCTCCCCCTCTCTGTCTCTCCCTCTATCTCTGTCTCTCCCTCTCTGTCTCCCCCTCTCTGTCTCTCCCTCTATCTCTGCTTCTCTGTCTCCCCCTCTCTCTCTGTCTCCCCCTCTCTCTGTCTCTCCCTCTCTGTCTCCCCCTCTCTGTCTCTCCCTCTATCTCTGCTTCTCTGTCTCCCCCTCTCTCTCTGTCTCCGTCTCTCTGTCTCCCCCTCTCTGTCTCTCTCTGTCTCCCCCTCTCCCTCTCTGTCTCCCCCTCTCTGTCTCTCTCTGTCTCCCCCTCTCCCTCTCTGTCTCTCTCTCTCTGTCTCTGTCTCTCTGTTTCCCCCTCTCTGTCTCTCCCTCTCTGTCTCCCCCTCTCTGTCTCTCCCTCTCTGCCTCTCCCTCTCTGTCTCCCCCTCTCTGTCTCTGTCTCTCTCTGTCTCCCCCTCTCTGTCTCTGTCTCTCTCTGTCTCCCCCTCTCTGTCTCCCCCTCTCTGTCTCTCTCCCTCTCTGTCTCTCTCCCTCTCTGTCTCTCCCTCTCTGTCTCTGTCTCCCCCTCTCTGTCTCCCCCTCTCCCTCTCTGTCTCTCCCTCTCTGTCTCTCCTTCTCTGTCTCCCCCTCTCCCTCTCTGTCTCTCCCTCTCTGTCTGTCTCTGTGTGTGTGTTTGTGTGTGTTTCTCCTCTACAGCCAGTGACTGGCCCTGTTTATTTACCAGCTTTGTTTTGTTGTTGTTGTTGTTAATTATAGGGCTGGTGGGAAGAAGGGTAAGGGGTTATATTTTTTTTGTTTATATATATTATATATGATATATAGACCGAATAATACAGTCTGTGTTGTAATAATACCTTAGACACAGTTCTGTAATTCTGGCAAAATGTATTCACACATACATATATATATATATATTATGATATATTGCTCGATATATTCTGGTGGATCCTGACTTGGATTCTTCAGACGGTTATAAAGGTATTGTTGTCACAAGCTTGCTTGTAACTCGTGTCTTTTTTTGTTTGAAAACAAATCTCCAGGCCAGAAGGAACCCCTTTTGAGGATGGTAAGTTACCCATTTTTGAAGAAAAAAAACACTAAACAACAACGTCAAGAAGATACCGGCCATTATTACAGTATTGTCTTTATCGTCAACCTTTGCTTTATTATTTCTGATCGCGAATGTCAATGTACGAAGGAGGCATCTCTGCTCTTGCAGAGCAATCTGATCCTCTGGCAGGTGGGCAATGGGTATAGAGAGGAAAAGCAAAAAAGGAAGTTTTGTAGCTTGGGAAATCTGACACAAGGATGGAGTTTACTTAATCTCGTGTTGATTCTTTCAAACAAAGATTAGCTCATTTTCTTGTAGGAAATAACATTATGGGATACAGTACATAGGTAGTTTGGGCCACTGTCATGAAGGTGGAAAGTGACCTTGATTTTTTTCGTCTAGCATTTCTTATGTTATATGTTATGTTCTTATGCCCTCATGTTTATTTTTTTTAAAAACTCGTTAAAGCAAGTGCTGAGCACTGATGTTTTCAATTTCAACAATATACATCAGTTACTCACCGCTCTTGCAACAAAAGTCACAGATTTTGTGTGTGTTTTGTGTGCAACAGTATTTCAGTCGAGGGCCATTCTCTGTAATGTTCCAACATGTTACCCCGTAAAGTGATAAAACGTTGGCCTGTGCTATGGCTGTTGTCCCATTTTACCATCTGAAGGCTAGATGCTTTCCAAGTGATTAGAGGGAATGAGAACTGTAGGGCTGATATTTCTATTAATTGTTCTTTTAATAGCAGAACCCTTTTTGTGTTGCTCATAGATGGTGGGATAACAGTTTACTAGGATGAAGGATGGTCTGTTTCCATGTTTGGGGTGGTGGGTAGGCACTTCAATATATATATATATTATATATAAACGACATGTACAAGTTTGAGAAGGGCTTCTTCAACATTCTTGATGGCAGAGTGGTGGGACTATGTTGACCCCACCTCCCCATTTCTGGATACTGTTGGGGTAACGCTGGGAAGAAGTCAGCTATCTTTTTGCCCCCAAAGGAAAGGGACTAAGAGCTGTTTGCAACTTGTCCGTCTTGTGGATCTCCTGTCGATGATTTCATTACAGCAATGATAGGCCAAGTATGTTATCATTCTGTATAGTGGCATTTGGAGAAAATGTGTGTTTAAGTTGATCAATTTTGACAGTCGTATTTACCGCATGGTTAATGTGGAACAGATGTGGATTTTGTGCTAATTTTACTTAAAATATTTGCTAACAGGACACCCTAGTGCAGTTGTTTACTTTTCTACAGCAATTCTGAAATGGCGATTATCTGTATGTGATAATGCAAAATGCAGTAAGTTTGTGAGTCCTCTACTTGTGTACAATATAGTCTGCACAGATGGTCTTACTGTGCTCACTATGTGAATCAGGAAATGACTGAAAGCAGATTGAGGTGAGGTCACTTGATTACCACTGTAAATCAAGTGGTGCTTCTTGTGTGTTGTGTTCTGTTTTATCAGAAGTCAAGTATGAATAGTCAATAAAGCTGGGGGTGGGGGATTCATTTAGTTCCCAAATGTCCTTACCAAATGTAAGGATGATTATTAGTTATAACAGATTCCATCTCTGGATTATAACAATTAGGTAGCCTGAGTAATCATCTTCAGATCAAGATCCAGATGTCACTCTGACTGCAAACTGCAGTTCATTGAAAGATTCTGATAGCGAAACTATACTTTTTTGAGATTTCAGTAAGCATTTTCCTAGTTGTTTAGATTGACTTAGTGCATCTGAAATAAACATGGGGAGGAAGTTGTATGTGTGACATTCAGTGTGAAAGTATTGCAGCAACACAGTACTCTTGCGAGGACTGGTAGAAGGGAGATTCTGTATTAACCGTGGAATCACTAATACTATTTTGTATAATTGTGAACTTAACCTAATTAGATGTCTCCCTTCTTTAAAATCTTTTCCAGGTACTTTCAAACTCACAATAGAATTCACAGAAGAATATCCAAACAAGCCACCCACAGTTAGATTTGTTTCAAAAATGTTTCACCCAAATGGTACGTGACTTACATCGCTACTGGTGTTTACTGGGAATTGTCCACTTAAGTTGGACTGTGGTAAATGATCTGCCATGTGGCTTTATTGAATAGAAAGAATAAATGTGTATTTTGTGAAGAAATAATTACATTGAGATTTGATCTGCAATCCCTTATGTCTGAACTTCAGGTGTAATTTGTTGCAACTCATTCCTAGTTTATACAGTAATGTGAATCAGAGTAACAAAATGTTGGGTGATTTGTAGGTGTGCTGAACAGCACCAAAGAGTTAGAAATGCAGGGAAACTGCCATATGTAAATGATGAAGTGCAGGGAAATTATGAAGTTGTTGGGATTGGGGTAATCATACCCAGAGCAGAAGGCTTATGCTTCGACACTGAGTTACTGCAGCTAAATAAATCCTAAGTGGAGGAAACACCGCTCTATTAGTGGCATAGAAAACGCAACGATCAGCTTGAATTTATGTATGGTGTATTTCACCAGTGCTGACCACAAAAGTTTGTGCAGGGGACATTTTTAGGGTAAGCTTTTAGAGAAAGCTACATTTATTTTGGAAGATCCATGCTGTGGAGGGGTGGTCTTGTCGACACCTTATATCAACAGCCTAATATAGAGTTCCAGAAATTGGAGGGTGGGACCTTCTTTGATCCCTGTTATTATATGACTTAACTGCAATGTACTTTGGACATTGCTAGATAGACCTCAGTGGCAGGTGCAAGAGGCAAGTGTTAGTTCTGTGCAGTGAACAACTTTCCTATTCATGAAGTTCTAATTGAGGTGAGCAAACTCTTTCAAAGGCCACTCTGGGGGCTCAGCTCTTTTGCCAAAATGCATTTTAGCATTTAATATCCACTATGTGGGCCATTTGCATTCCTAATTGAAGACTACTGTCAGCATGCTGTTTGCCTCATTTCAAAAGGCTGAATTATTAAGTACTGCACTATTGTTTTATAAGTCTGGAAGATAAGTTCTAGTTAGTTCGATATGAAGAACACAAAATGCTGTTAACATTTTAGCAGAGTAGTTTTCAAAGAGAGGTTCTTTTCAAATCAACTTGTGGCCGTTGTAACTTTTTTTTATAAACTTGACATGCTGTTATGCTTTCTTAGTCTACGCAGACGGCAGTATATGTCTGGATATACTGCAGAATCGTTGGAGTCCAACTTATGATGTGTCTTCAATCTTAACATCTATACAGGTAATTTTAAGATTGATTTTATTAACATAAAATAGTTTCTTTTTCACCCAAAGCCAAGCTGGAAGCTTGCTTCTGGGACCTTTAAGTTCTACAAAAACTTACTTTTATACAACTCCTTTCATGGTGGGAGGATGTGCTTTTACATAGTCAACTAGGAGCCATCCCTGGAGTTGGGTGGGGGGGAGGGAAGGGAGGGAGGGAGGGGGCTGTAGTGTAGAAACTAGTCATTGGTACTGCTCTTTTCTTCTGTTCTCCCACCCCCCAAAAAAAAATCCTGCTCTCAGAAAGAAGGGCCCACTTTATGTATAATTGAGAACTCTGGTGACATTGTAGACCCATTATCCTGTGTGGCATCAGATGTCAGGAGTCCTGTTGTGCAGCACCACAGGTCAGGTTTTTAATGCATATTTTGATCAACCTGCACATATAAATACCCTTTGCCCATATGAGGGGAAAATTATTGGGGACACTTATTTTGAGGTTGGTTCTGTACCCAAGCTTTCATGGCTAGGATCCATTGTCCACCCAATAAAGGGCCTCACCTGAACTGACTCATGTCCCTCCCACCCACCCCCGATAAGTTAAAGGAAATTCTGTTTTTTTTTTCTGCCCATGTTCCTTGTGGGAGCTCAAAACTTTCCAGACTCTCGAAAGAATTTTTTTTCTGAAAATAGTTCTAATTACAATATGTTTATGATTACAAATGTTGTAACTGTTCTGGGTATTTTGTTTTGTTTGCTTTTTTTTCCCCCCAACAGTCATTACTGGATGAACCAAATCCAAATAGTCCAGCCAATAGTCAGGCTGCACAGCTCTACCAGGAGAACAAACGGGAGTATGAGAAGCGGGTATCTGCAATAGTGGAACAGAGCTGGCGGGACTGTTGACCCTGCCTAGTGCCTACGAACACTGTCAGGTCATGAGAACCATGAAGCGTCTCGAGTCCTTCTCGTTCTAGCATCATCACATTACATACTTTGTTTCAAGCTAAGCTGCTACAGTGCTGCCACCCACTGAAGCCTTTTTCCCCTGGACGTTGTCAAAAAAAAATACCCACATGTTGATGTGCTTGTACTGTACCTGGGGTACTTGCCAAGTAAATTTTCAATTTCACTCGATTCTGGTCATCCTCCTTTGCTGGTGGTGTTTAATAGCCCATCTTGGCTAGTGTCTGGCTGAGGTACACTGTAGTATATACAGTGACATTTGCGTAGTTTAGGTACAGACCAGTGAAAAGGATTTTTCTAGGTTTGGAGACACTGCTGTAGCACTGATCTGCTTAGCCACACCTGTCAAGTGGGTTAGTTACTTCTGTTTGTACAACAGACGTGCATTTCTCCTCTGAAGCAGGCACTGTAGTTCTTGATATTAAAAAAAAATCTTTTTGCAGAAGGTGCTAGTCTATTTTTAGAAAAAATTTTAAGTCTGGGGTACTGGCTTTTGGCTGGGTGGTCACTCTGGTGACAGTGTTTCTAGTTCTCTGTAGTTGTTCTTGTGAGCGTGCGTGTATGAGTTTTTGCTACATGCTTTGTTTTTTTTTCCTCCCCCGCCCCCAATTAAAATGAAGTGCTTTCATTTTCTTATCAAGTACAGCCACCAATACTCTCACTTAGTCAAGTTAGACCAAACTTGTATATTCAGATGCCTATTGCAGTGATGTGGAGAGATCCTGTACCTTGTATTGTCTGATGTCCTGAAGTACCCTTTTCTGCACATTAGTCTTTTGAAGTGACAGTATAACTTTGCACTATAGTAACCCATGTAAGAAACTGTACATTTTCTCACTACTTGTAAATAAAACTGCAACCTTACTGGCAGCATCTTGTGTAACTAAACTTGCAAACTGAATCGCAGCAAATGGAAACCCGGACCCAGTATAATAACTAGGGTAAAGTTCAATTATGTGTGAACGACTTGCATTCATTTAGCACCCTTCATGTGGGATAGTGCCTCAGAGTGCTGCACAGTTGGATGCTGTGCAAGGGAGAGGTAACCATAGGTGTGGTCAATGACAGTCCTTAAAATAAGATTTAAAGATAAGAGGGGGCAAGGTGGAGAGATTGAGGCAGGGGCATAGTGGATGAAGGCATAGGTAACAATGGTGGCGGAGACTGGTGTTAGAAGAGAAAATAACACTGATTATTCCCTACATGGGTAAAGAGTTTCCTGAACCTCACTGATTGGGCACAGGGTAAGATAAACTCCTGCGAGAACCTACACAATGCAAATCAGCACCTCAAGAGAGAACTGCCACTGTTTTCTTCAAAAATGTGTTGGAATTCTTTGAAGCAATGAATAGAGGGTCACAAATAAATTTCAGCCTCCTCAGCAGAAACTCATGCAGCTGCTCCTGAGATTAAAGAAAACAAGGAGCAACATTCATAGAACAATGCAAAAAATGCAGAATTTAGATATCAGCCTAAATCCATTGGAGTAGTTTTATTTTAAAAAGGCCTCCAAGCAAAATCATAAGAAATGTCAATGCTTTAGTGATGTAAGATTGCACTGAAGTCTCAGACTTGGAACAAGAAACCTGGTTTGATTTAAGCTCTTCACTAACAGGTCTTTTCTTTGACAGGCATGGTGGAACTTCAGCTGTAAACTCTTATAAATAACTCACAAAAAAGTGAGTTGGCATTTACAGAGAAGTTCAATGAGATTTCATACCCAGAAGCTTCCACCAAACCCAAATCTTACACCCTGGAAGTCACTAACCAGACTGGGTACCACACAGCTATCTATAGTGGAAGTTTTATCCAATAATAACCCTGGCTGCAGTAAGCTCTGGTCTGCCCTACCCAGCTTCTTAGAGGTCAGTGAGAATTGTCTGGTCGTCAAAGATAGCAGAAGAAATATCAGCCACTGCCCTTCTGCTTCTGTTGCACAGCATTGTTCAATCAAGTACTAATGTAATTGAACAGTATTGCAGGATATTGGCATTCCACTCAATTGTCACTTGTTCAAACTCCAGTACATTGGGTTGTTTCAATGTTCCTAAGGTAAATATTGTTTTAAACAAAGTAATTGATTTCTACAAGACTGGGTGTGCAGGCAGGGGTGGAAATCCATGTGCACCAGGATTAAGGTCCTTAATTAAGCACTTATTTGACTTCATGAGGTCATGTGTAGTCCCTGCTCGGTTTGTACCGGTTCAATGTCAACACACAAAGGCACAAGTATAAACTACCCCACGAGATGAACAGATTGATACACATCTGCTGCCAGATTACGTTATTAAGGACATTAAGGCTCTGGGCTGGATCATTTTATTATTCATAATGAATGTAGTATATAAAATTAAATTACAATTCTGTTCAATTCGTGATTTATCTGCCCCATGCTTTATAGAAGATATACAAATGTCTATTATATTTTGTTCAAACTTTCAACTGTTCCCATCCATTACATCCACCAACTTGGTTACATACTCAAATTCTGCCAGAGAACAGAACAAGCTCCGCTACTTGTAATTTGATACTCCTTTCATCCTTAGTTATCAAATATCAGAAATCAAGAATATATGATCAAGCAACTGAAAAGACTACATTTTGTAATTCCCTCGGTTTGGCTTGGAGACCAAATACCCAGCTGAACAACACAATGTAGTTCATCAGTCAAATGATTGACCCATTTAAACATACGCACGCATTTGGAGATTCATATTTTTAACACTCCTAGACTTGATCCATTTTATGACAGCTTCAAAGCACTTTGTCAGGCTCTCTCCTGAGACCAGTAATTAGGACTGGAAACCAATGACTATTAAAATTAGGTATTTCAGATAGTAATTAACAGTGGATCTGCAGCATTTTTGCTTTAAATTTTCAGACCTTGCATCAATTGACTCGTGTTTATTCCTAGCTACCTACTCAGAATGGCATTCCCCTTTGCACACCAGCTTTGGGTGACTTGGGATTCATGATCGGTTAGCTGAATTTTACAATCTGATATTCGCAAACCCAAATTAACACAACAATCAATGTTGTAAATATTGCAAATTAGACTAATATAAACAGACCTAATATACAATACTGAAGCACATATTAGCAGCTTATATTTGATGCTTTAGCTTTTTTTAAAAAAATGTTTAATGATTATCTTTACGATATTCAAGATAACAGTGCATCAAATGTTTATACCCAATGTGGAATTTTGTACTTTGCAGATAAAAATAAACAATTTTGGCCAGCTTCAGCAACCTTAAGATAGCACTGCAATGTATCTTTGTATCGTTTAGCTCCAAATGAATTACATCATCACCGAGAAACAACATTGGAGGATGACCTGAAGTGTTTCTCCCTATCCATCAGCAGGTGTCTGACTCACTCTCAGTATTCTTCTTGTGCTACATCAATGCAGTTTGTTTTCTCTTTCCACACGACAGGGATGGCATTATTGGTAGACAGCAGGCATAAGCCCAAGTCCCACCACTCTGTGCCAGTAAATCATCCTGTTGTGCTGCTCGATAGGCACCAGAAAAGCAATGGTTCTTTTCTAATCTCTGGCCTACCCTCATCCAACTTTCTCTATTGCCAGCATTCTAACAAATGCATCTTTCTATCTGAGCCACTTGGCATAAACTGTGGCTACATGTCCCTTGTAAAAGAGCAAGGGGTGAAAAATCAATTGTTTTTATTGTAATGTGATGCATTTAAACACAGTGAACAGAAGGACCCCATTAGTTTACCTTTAAATCTAATGGCAACCCGAATGATGGATCACTGAGGAAGGAAACTCTGAGCAAGATAAATGCAATTTCTTAAAAACTTACCGAAGAATAGCCTTTTTACTTTAAATTCAACCCAGCCAAGTCGAGTATAAAATTTACCAAACGCATTAATAATCCTGAAACTATGGAGCTTTGAAGAAGCAAAACTTGACATTAACTGTTGACCTATTCTGCCTCCTAGGAAGGTACTGCACATCCTAACCCTCTGCATTTTTTAAAAAAATCTAATGTCCCTTTTGCTTCTTTGGTAATTATCTTAAAATTGGTATCCCCTAGTCTCAGACTCACCTCTTTTACTGTAGAAATATCTTAAATCCCATTGTTTCCTCTAAGCCAGAGTCCAAAGCACATGCAGCTTGCCCATGCCTTGTAGGGCAAATGTTGTTTTGACTCCGATGGAAGAAACTCAACTTCCACTTTGGGAGCAAGATAGTTAGCATCTTCCACATTACATGATGGGAATCTACCAGCAGAGAACAAATATGGTTAGTAGATCAAAATATGACCCTCCTATTGCAGTTCAACTGGTGGTTCTTAAAACGAGTCAACATTGCATGTGCATAAGTCTAAAATATCAGTGATATTTGACTGAGTACACATTACTGGATATGGGTCTAGTAAGAACCAGACCGACATTTAAAGAATTGTATTTGGGAACCAAATAGGATATTAAGATTCTGAGGCAGATTAAGAACTTGAACTAGCTACAATTTAATACTTCCTTATTGTTCAAATATTACACCATGGAAGAATCTGAACCAGGAAATAGAACTGGTTGTTCATTTGCAAAGTTTCCCCGGATGGTGAAGTCACTGTAGCAGCACTGAAACTAAAGATAAAATAGTTAATATGAATAATTTTTGGACAATAATTTGCCATCCAGCTTTCTAATAAGAACCTGTATTTAAAAGGATTTTGAAGACAGTGTGTAAGGGGTACATGACAAACTTAAAGAGAAATAGAAAGTAGAAATAAAGAAAAAATGCAGATCCTAGATCTGAAACAAAATAAAAAAACTAAAATCTGAAAAAGAAATAATAGATTGGAGTTTGGGACTCAGCATTTCAATAGAACAAATCTGAAGAAATGAACAATATTGAATAGCAGTTGTTAAGATCAACCGTCATAATTTTAATGTGATTCCCCTTCCTTTTAAACTGAGATAAAACATAACATAAAATCGTTAAGAGAGTTTGCGGTTAGTCATTTCAACAGTGGCATAGTTTATTACCTTTTTTGTAAATAACACAAACAAACAATTATTCTTAGACTATGAAAAAGTGATGCAGGAACACTAAGACCCAGTCCATTTGTGATGCCTTGTTCTGAACAGCTACCTCACCTCATGACAACTGTAAATAAACTTCTATTGCAATCAGAAATCATTTACAATAACTGAAAACTGAATTCAGATTACTGGACAAAAGTTTGAAGAAAGCTGCACATAAATAAAAATTAGGTGGCGTTTTGCATCAATATGAACAGCCTGGCACTACCAATTCAAATCGGCCAACCTGTCCTTCCTGCACAAGCTGGTTCATAATATCATCAACACGTACTTTTCTGCTCACAACTAGATAGCGCTCCCTTCCTTTTCCATAGGATTTACTCTTGAGGCCATATTTGGCAGCTATCTGATGGATCTGCATCCTCTCGTCGTTGTTCAGCTCCTTGGAGAAGGTCAGCTCATCCTGCCTATCTGAGCGGGCGTAATTTCTGATAAGGTCTTCTATATCTCGCTTATTTAATTTAGAATTACCCTTGGCCATCTCTAAACCCAGGCCTTCCCTCCTAAACTGTTCTTTTACCATGATTGGTTCTGCAATACCCTCACCTTCTTTACCTAAGCCACCCCCCTTCCAACCCATTTTCCGTAAAAGCTGATTGCCAATGTTATCCTCTGTGATCTTTTGTTTAAGAGCTTCCTCCGCTGACCGTCCGAGAATTGCACTTCTGGAGATGGCTGCGTCAGCGTTTCCTGGTTTGCTTGATTTCACAATGGGTTGGGTTTGCCTCAGGATGTCCAGAGCCTTGTCTGCTGCTGTGTGCTTCACCAGCTTCTTGGTTCCGTAAGCCTCGGCAATAAAATGATCTTCTATAAAAACACGACACTGCCAAACTTGATTGGGTGTCTGTTGAAACTTGTAATCCACCGCCATTCTGTTGAATTGAGCAGAATTGTTAAGAATGCACACAGCATTTTTCGCAGTCTCTAAAATGACAAATTCAGTCCAGTGTCGCTTTTTGTAATCCTTCGTATGCAGGTGGCTCGGCTTGGATTCACTTGTTTTACTGCTCGGGTCCTTGCTTGGCATTTTTTCATCGGGCTTTTTGAGAGCTGGAGGAATGTCATTTCGAGTTGTGTTCTTTTCGCACAATACTAAGTCATCGATGTAACTGGTTTTACACTTGCGCTTCATAAGCTCAACTACCACATCTTTAAAGAACAATTTTAAGGCTTGCTCAGAAGCCCTATCTCTTGCTCCAATTTTGCTGCCTGCATAGCCTGTAGATAAGTAAACACCCTGGCACCTCAACTCACAGGCATAGCCGTCACTTAACATTTTCTTATTTCTTGGGACATCAGCTGGAGGAATTTCCTTCAGCGAGACATAGAAATATTGAGGATTTGTTTTACACGTCTGGATGCAGTTGCTTAGTACATCACTGTGATTCAACTGGTTACTGAAGCCCCCAATGGTACTAAGCTTCCTGGAAACAGCTATCTGGAGCATGTTAAAAAAGTGCTGTTTGTTCTTTATCGCAGATGGAGAAAGTCCATCAGTTGAAGACTCGTCTAACAAAGATGTGAGGGATCCTGATTTTGCCGACTTACTGGCACTTTTCTTGGAAGACTTCCTACCCTTTGACTTTTTGGTCTGAGTGAAGCCCAGACCCTTGTAGCCTTGCTTATTTCCAACTGCAGGTTTAGAAAAATCTGGTCCTTTCATCGTTGGATAACGCTCTGATGGATTGGAATGATAAGCTTCATACTTTGCACAATAGTTTTCTTGTATTTTAGACATGTAACTGCTCAGGGAACCTAACCCTTTCATGCAATTGCTACCTTTGCTCTCATTTGCACCTCCAAAGACGCCTTTGTAGAAAGTGTCATAATCAAATGAATTCTTAGGAGTGGCAGAAAACAGTGGGCCATTTACACTTTTGTTACAATTGTCCACATCATAAATTGGAGAAGATTCTGCCTTTGTTGTGTTCTTCTCCTCTTTAATGGAGATCTGTGAAGGTAATACAACATCGTCCATATCTGCCCAGCGTCGAGGACGGTCAGTTTCGTCTATATCCAGGATTTCATCCTCCTTGATGCTGCTGCTGACAAATGTAACTGGCTCAAAACGAAATCTGGGACGGAATAATGGGGGCTTCCGTTTTGCAGTTGGATCTTCACCTGAAATCATACAATAAGTTAGATAGTGTGTGCCAAGAATTACTACAAATTTACACTTTTATTGCCTCAAACTGTTGATCAACGAATAAAAATAATGAATGATCCATTGTCCTTATGAGAAAAGATTATTGTTTTCCTTAATGTTCCCTTATCAAGCTTTTAATTTTGTATATAGTTGTATCAGGTAAATAATGTAAAAATATATTATTAGCTTCATATTGTTCAGTAATTTGAATCACAATGCGTTGCTTAGCGAGGGAAATATCTACAACAACAAATGTAAGTTATATAGTGCCTCTCTTTACAGCCTACTGTACTGCAGGAATTTAACTTGTGTGTCCGTCTTCCACTGCTAGCTTCAAAATGGGGCACCTCCCACTGCTTCTCTGAAGGCATCACACATAGAAATAAAGACACCACTCGGAGAAGCAACAGCTCTGTATCAGGGAATTATACCAGGCACTTCTCCAGTTTGATTGTCCACATTATCTCAGATTCAAGCGCATTTAAGAGGTTATTTAAGCAAGACAAACACAAGTCACACTGGCTTTTTGTATACATATACATAAAATACATATTCTTCATTTCACATATTCAGGTGCAACTTGATGCGGATCAATTCCTTCCTTTATAGTACAAAATACAAGCGTCCAAGTTTCCATTTTGTCAAACTAAAATATGTACACCAGTAAGAAAGGATTTGTTTTGCTAAAGCATACGGAGAGAGAATATGCTTTAAGTATAAACATAGTAAAGTGGCAGATGCTTTGCACATTGTCTGCACTGATATTCCTGTCAGAACCAGACAAAATGAGACTCTGGTAACATCGAGGGAGGTGCAACAACAACAACAAGATTCCATTTATAGAGCGCCTTTCACGTCGGGAGGACGTCCCAAGGTGCTGGACAGGTAGCTTGCAGCACGTAACGAGGTTTGTTTCCAAATGCTGCAATCCAGAATGAGAGAGTGACCTGGTATCAATGAGGAACACCCCTAACTGCCTGTATATGGCGTGATTCCCCCCCTCCGCAGGGGTGCAGAAGGGGGATAAAGACAAATGAAGAGAAGAGGATTGATGTTTTTATATTGTATGTTTGAGGAAGTAAGGTAAACTGAAGAGAGGCGGGAATTATGGTGAACATACTTAACTGTATCCCAAATTAAAGTTACACTCTAAACACACCATTAAAAGATCTTCAATATTCTCTTTCTAAAAGTCTAATCGAAAAGATACCATAAATACCAGATGTTAGGTTATCACTTTATGTTAACAAGACAGGAAAAACCCATGAGTGTCCCCAGTTTGATTTTGGCCACAAGTAAAGATTAAGCCAGACATTACTGCACCACCTTGGTTTCTGAAACTTGGGTTCAGAAGGTTTTAAATCCTGCACATACCTAAAGTGTTATTGCCAACATATGTTGCACCACTCTCTACATCTGAACTGTTACAGTGGACGATGTCATGCGTTGAATGGACAGTGGAGCAGGGCTGAGATTCAACCCGTGACATCAATTTGAACACTGAGAACAGGGGAGGAAATGTACATTTAACAATAAATGCGTACATTTTAAGATTCAAACATTTAAACATTTTTGAACGGGATCAACTTACTTGTCAAAAAGTTTCCACTAGAAATTTAGACAGGGATGCATTTTATGAGCTGAATTTTATTTTTGTTACAAGAATAAATTTAACCAGTTTTAATGTATGTATCTCAATACTGGGCGGCGCAACAAACTATCTCTCCATCTCTGGGTCAAAGGCAGTCCAGACTTACGGGAAGAATGTCATACCCTCTTTTCCAGCAAGGTTCAACATTTTGGAATTCTCTAGCGAGTTCTTACTAGACGCATGTCAACATTGAGTTGTCCACAATTTTGCAAATTTCTCACAAGGTCTAGTGTGATGGTTGCTGTGAAACAAATATTACTCATTTAGTGTTGAGTACTTTTCTGAGGTCACGGTTCTTGGAACGGAGCATAGAGAGCTCAATCCTGCATCTTCTTTGTACAATACCTAACTTCAGAAAGCATGATGGAGATCCCGGATGTAAACTGAGAAAATTGTCCCGTTTCCCACCATTAACAACTTTTATGGAGTTCAGAAATTCAGCCCAAAATGCAAATCAAGGCACCAGGCAAAAATAAACTTCACTTGCCATTGTCTTCACCCTTGGATCTCTTATTGGTGGTGGTCCCAGGAACCAACTCATATGATCCCATGTCACCAACATCAATGCCTTCTGCCATCTGAAAGACCTTTTCCATAAGGTCTGGGCTGTACCTATTAGTAAAGAGAAATATGTTAAGTCTGCATGCACTGGTTCCTTCCCATGAGTATTTCCAGCATTTCTCCCTTCTTGATATTGTGCTACAATTCTAACCTACCAATTAACATATTACAATGCCTCTGTGCAAGAAAGCAATTGAAGTTGCATATAAAAGATATGCCTTACAGAAGAAAGGTCAACTGCTAGGACATCTGGCATGAAATGTTTGTTTAAAAAAAAGCAACAAAAAGGGCTCATCTGCTTTGGATTTCTCTCACCTCCTCTTCCCCTCCCATCCCAAGCTGTGCTAGCCTCTACTGAGTCGCTGACATAGCCAACTCAATAAAGACTCCTCCACAGAATCAGCTTAATACTCTCCTTGGTTAAATAACCAGGCTTTTAGGGGGAGGCACCTTCATCCAGTTGACTCAGCTGAGACAAGTAAACATGTCCTTCAAGGGGAGATATGCGTGCAAATGTCCGCCAAACCTGGCATCTAAATTTAGGTTTCCCATTGAGGTCCAACTCCTTGAAAGGCATGGGACACCAGCATGCAAAATGGTGCTTCCCCTCAAGGAGGAAAAAAAGAAAAACAGAGGAAGTCACCCCAAGTCTCTTTTGCACACAACCTAGTGGCCATCTTCAGAGCTGGATCAGTGGTTGTCTGGGAGCAGGTCATTGCCCATCCCCTTGGCTGTAAATATACGTGACAGGGTAGGTGGTATATGAGAAAAATAATTTTCAAAATAAAAAGTAAAATCAAAGTAAAATCCTACCACGAGGATTTTACTTTAATCTTACTTTTTATTTTGAAAATTATTTTTCTCATATTGGCCGAGATCAACTAACTTGTAACAGACCAAAGATGGAAACTACAATCTCCCTCTGAATGGTTCAAGTACCGCAGCATTCAATGCATTACTCACTGACCAATATAGAGAGGAAGATTCTAGTTTCGATCCATGGTTAATGTTGATTTGGCTGATCTTGCCCAAGGGTGTAGGCCTTGAAATATGGTTTAAAATAGGGAAATAGAAAAACAAGTGAAATCAGCCAAGGTTACCACGATCCAGTGACTCCTCTGAAAAGTGCACAAGTGTGGAAGTTGGGCAAGGACAAAATCGAGCTCAACTGCGATGCCTCCCCCCCATGGTCAAATAACCTGCCAACACTCACTGTTAGGCTCACACATGAAGAATGGCCACTTGTGGGTGAGGTACCGGAGGGCTGCTGGCGCCCATGGAATCGTACCCCAGCATGAGTCAGCACCTTCAGGAGAGGAGGGGGGAAAAGAGATAAAAGAATAATATGTTCATGTCACGCTCTTCTATCATCTATTTAATATCAAGGCAATCCAAAAAAAAGTCACAAGGAATATAGGATGTTACTGGCGTTCATGTAAAATACCACCTACATGGAGAAATATTCCGTTCAATTAGCAAAGTGATTTGGGCTTTCCTTTGGGGCAGGGCGAGGAAGAGGAGCAAAATTGTTGTGAACTCTATTAGTGATCCCAATTCCAGCGTTTATGATCAAGACACAAAAAGGATTGTAAGAAAGGGAAGGAAAATTAAAACAAGATTTATAATTTACCGTGTTGATTAAGTACAGACATCTCTATATTGCAAGGGCACAAGTAAAACAATATGCGGGCATACCCAACAGAAATTTGACTGTACTGTCAATCTTGTACTGAACCATGTAAATCAGGCACAGTATTTATTATAATTCAGCCAACATAGAACATAACTGCCAAAGCATTTCTAGTGAAGATGTCATGGTTTACGAGTACTGTATTTTATATAGCCACATTTTGAGTCCACCTTAATGACATGAGCAAAACTGCTCACACACCTTTAGTACAAATTATTCTTGCTCTTTTTCCTTCCATCTCCAAAGTACATTAGAGATTTCACTCTCAGCCATAAATTCCTGCTTAACAACAGCCAAGATGGTAGAAATGTAGAAGTTTGGTGTCACAAATGCTAGATTTTGATATAAAAACAAAACCTATGACAATTCCAAAATGACAGCTAGAAATCGAACAAATGGATTAGTAGTATCAATAGGGAATCTTTCAGTTGTAATAGAAAATATTCTGATTATTATATATTACCAACATTGTCACTCAGATCAAAGTCCAAAGTACACGCAGAGATCAAATGTTTGAGAAAATTGTAGCCAACTTTGTGGTCTGCCATTTGCTTTTTGAACTATCCAATCTCTCCAAGTGTGTTTCTAACCTCTAATACCTAAAAGAAAATCTAAAAATATTTCCCATTCCTATAAATCATTCCATGTAAAGCTCCACTTGTGAAACTCCACTAAGATAACAACATGTTACCAGAGTAGATGAGATCAGGAACTGTCATGTGGGGAAAAGGATTATGTGAGGTGGTTAGGAAGAGTAAGGAGAAACATCTGCAATAAGAAACGGATACCTATTCTGGACCCCAAAAGAATACTTTATCTCCTGTCTTCACTTTGTATTCCATACTGATCTATGAAACGTCCCACTTCCTTTCTGAATGAGTCATGCCACATGGCATTTAACTTGGAAGACTTGTTATGAACCAATTCTGAAAGAGCTGGTGTCTGCTGCTGCTTAGATTTCACCACAAGGCAGTACAAGACAAGACCAATTTGCTAATGCAGAATAGTTTCTTTAATATAGCCCTCAACTTTTTTCATTCTTGATCAGGGAAAGTGTAAAGGCTAATAATACCAATTTGTCGTAACTTGATCATCAAGATGGGCAACCAGGGCATCTGACATCTACGAGGTGTACCATTTATCTAAAAGTAATGGATGCTATTGCTTCTTGAGGAAGAATGAAAAGGGCTCTAAACGCAACATCAGTTACCACACACAGCGTAAGCTATAGAAGTCGGTTTAAAAACATTGCTCTTCAACTCATTCTCCTTCTAATCAAGCACTCCATTCCATTAACTAATTCCTCTAAACACCACTCTCTACGTTGGAGTTTGTAACAGACAACAACAACAACAAAATTCCATGTATAGAGCGCCTTTCACGTCGGGAGGATGTCCCAAGCGCTGAACAGTCAGGTGTCGGGGTCCGAGCATGGGGATGGGGTGGTGTAGAGGTGAGGGAAGGCAGGGAGGTAGGACGGCGACCAAAGACATGATCGAAGAGAAGGGTCTTGAGACCGACCTTCAAGGAGGCAAGGGAGGAAGCGAGGTGAAGAGTTCCAGAGTGTGGGGGCAGAGCCCGGCCACCGATGGTAGGGTGGGAGACATGGAGCCCGCTGAATGGAGGGAGCGGGCAGGTTGGTTGGGAGTCAGCAGGTCAGAGAGATAGTAGGGGGCAAGGCCATGGATGGCCTTGAAAGTGAGGACGAGGATCTTGGAACACTGGGGGATGGGGAGCCAGCGAAGTCGGGCGAGGGTGGGAGTGATGGGGCCGCGGAGCCTGGTGCGCGAGAGCACACGAGCTGCAGAGATTTGGATGATTTGCAGCTTGTGAAGGGAAGAGTTGGGAAGGCCGATGAAGAGGGAGTTCCCGTAATTGAGCCTTGATGTAACAAATGCATGACGCACATTTATACAAAATTACATTTGTATAGCACCTTTCACGTCGGGAGGACGTCCCAAGGCGTTGAACCGAACTGGGGAGTGTTGAGGGCAAGAGGGGAGCAAGGAGATCGAAAGCACGGGGTGAAGAGGAAGGTCTCGAAGGAGGCCAAGGGAGAGGGCGAGGCGGAGGGACTGTGGGATGTATTTATATATTTTATATCATTTATGTTGTATCAACATATATAACAGCCATATATGTTTGGTGACAAGGACATAGACATCAAGTCGTAACGTTTCAGTGTGAGGTTGTCGACGAAGATAAGTGAAACTACAGAGCAGCTACACGTGTCGTCGATAGGACCGACTTCCACTGTTCAAACCTCCCTTTTTCGTGCGCGACAAATGCCTCCAATCGTTTTGTACCGAAAAACGCGAGGACGCGCGCGGTTTATTGTGTGGGGACGTCGTTCAAAGGCAAATTAAAAATCTGCTCTGCGCGTTTCAAAACCCGCTGCCAAACAGCAACCGGGCAACTAACTGGCAAATAACCGAGCACTTTCCCTCTCCGACGGATGTGCTGCCATTCAACAAACACCGCCCGGCCCGGCCTGGCCTGGCCTGGCCCCCCCCCCCCTCTTGATTTAATCGGGAGTTTTTTTTAAAAAAAAACGGCATCAAAAGCAAAGTTCACCCTCTGTGCAGCTTCCATCCCCCCCCCGCGTGACATCGGGAGGGACGCGATTTACTGGGAGATGGGTTTAAAAACAAAAGTGAAGCCTTCGGCGGATCTTGGGATAAATGTGTGTGTGTGTGGGGGGGGGGGGTGTGGGGGGGGGGGGGGGGGGGGGGGGGAGAGAGAGAGAGAGAGGGGAGAGACAGAGAGAATCTCAGAAACGTTACCGCAGTCGCGTTCTTTTACTACATAAAAAAAGAAAAAAAAATGAATCTCTGCCTCACCCCCATCCCCCACCCCTCCATCCCACCCCCTCCTCACCTCTTTCTCTCTCCCTCTTTACGGGTATGAAAACGTCTGAGAGAGATGCAAAATAACTCTACAAAGTTGTGTGTGTGTGTGGGGGGGGGGGGGGGGGGGCGGGAACGCAACAACAGTGAAAGAAATGACCGCGGGAACACACATATACCCCCCCAACCCCCCCTCACCCTCCCCCCACACCCCCCCTCCCCCTCATTGAGATCCGCAGGAAGATTCACTTTGGCTTCGAAATCCTCAGCGACTCAGTAAAACCGCGTCCCTCACCGACTCCATGCGGGAGGGGGGGGAGGGAGGGAAGGAAGGAAGGAGGAGGAGGTTGTGCAACAAAAGCCGAGGCCTTGGCCTCTTGTCGGGAGGGTGGAGAGAGACTTCCGTCAGCCACTCACTACACACAGACACACACACACACACTCACTCTCACTCTCTCACTCACTCACTCTCGCTCACCTACAGCCCAGAAAGATGTGGTTCGTCCAGACCACGGAGAGGGCCAGGAGCTGCTCCATCTTGCTGCCGGGGTAGGCCTGCATGTGCCTGAGGATGAACTGCCGCCGAGGCCACCAGTGCCGGTCGCTCTCCGAGAAGCTGCGGTACTGCTCCACCGGCTCGGCGCCCTGCCGCTTGTCCCTCGCCGACCACTCCATGTCCGCCGCCGACGACGACGACGCCGCCGCCGCCATCTTTACAGGCCGGCGAGCATGTCCGCCCTCTCCTCTCTAATGGGTGGTGGGGGTTGGGGGGGGGAGGGAGGGAGGGGGGTTGGGGGGGTGAGGGGTGGGCGGCCCCAAAAGCGGAGAAAACACCGAACTCGCTCGCACGCCTTCTCGCCGCGCCCCGAGTCAGCGCCGACCATTAACGCGGCCGCGCGGACCCGACCAAACCACTTTATTCATTCAAAACAGCGGCATTGTTACATGCGCCATGTAATACGTCAGGGGCCCCTCTGACAGACCGCACCGCGCTGGGGGGAGGGGGAGGGGAGGAGGGAGGGAACCGGCGGGCGGGCGGGCGGGCACCGCGGTCACAGCGCCACGCACAGCGCCCCCGCAGCGGACTGGAGGACCGAGCTCAGTACGCAACCCTACACACACACACACATACACACACGTAGACAATCAGACACGCACTCACTCACTCACTCACTTACTCACAGCGCCCCCCCGCGTACGGGAGGAGCGAGGTCAGCCCGCGCCCCCTCCGTGTGCACCACACGCCTACACAGCGCCCCCAGCAGGAGACCCGGGGTCACTGCACGGCATTCTCTTGACGCGGTGGCTTTTTAACCTTGTAATTGATTAATAATAATCATAATAACAACAATAATAACAATATGATGATGATTCAGCGGACGGTATCCACATCATGATCCGTGGGCCTTTGCTGCGCGCCCGCACTGAGCTTCACCCCCTCCCCCCCCCTGTCCTGGACCAGCTTCACTGGCTCCCCATCCCCCAGAGGATTGAGTTCAGGGTCCTTGTCCTCACCTTCTAAGCCCTCCGCGGTCTTGCTCCAACTTACCTCTGCGATCTATTAAGACTTCACCAACCCGTTCTTTCCCTCCACTCTGCAGGCACTGGCAGTGTTCTTCTTGTTGTTGTTGTACATCCGGCTCTTACTTCTTGCGTGAAATCAAATAAGAGTGCACAGCGCTGTAGTAAGTCATTTTCAGCCTAAGTAGCACATACGGGTGTTTATGACCCACATTCCCCCTCCCTCGTCTTCCTCCTCACCCCTCTGTTCCTTCAAGGCCGGTCTCAAAACCTTTCTCTTTGACCGAGCCTTCAGCTCCCCTCTCGACTCTCTTCCCCCTCCTCACTCCCTCCCTTCCCTCCCCTCACCCTGACCATTTCCCCCCTCCTCGCTCCCTCCCTTCCCTCCCCTCACCCTGACCATTTCCCCCCTCCTCGCTCCCTCCCTTCCCTCCCCTCACCCTGACCATTTCCCCCCTGCTCGGGTCATGACCCAACTGTGCAGCGCCTTGGGACGTCCTCCTGACGTGAAAGGCGCTTTATAAATGGAATCTTGTTGTTGTTGTTGTTACACGCTTCTGGGTGCATTGAGTTTCTTTTCTGCTTCAATCACAGCTGGCAAGGAGATCCACACCCTCCTGGTTCAAAGGGGTTCCTCCTGAACTCTTTTAGATCCGTTTGTGGCTATCTTATATTTACGCGCCCTTATTATGGTGTCCAACACCATCAATGTTTTTGTGGCATTATTGAAAATAAATAAATAAATAAGTGCTTTGGGACATCTCAACGACGTGATAAGGTGCTTGTATCAAATGCCAGGATTATTATTATAAATAATGATATAGAAGCATTTTGTTGATAGAGACTGGACCAACAATATTACTCTTCTGTCGTAGTTAACAATTGAGTTTTGCACAGAATTCCTGTGGTTCAGAACATTTACTCCTATTTCCTTCCTAATGTTTCTCTTTTATTATTTGTGTGAATAACTGCGCCACTCTGTTCCAATGTTCCTATCTGGTTACATCCTTGTGAACTACAAGGCAGTATAAAAATGCAAGTTTGCATGATCGAATCACACAGAAACTGTGTAGCAACCCTACACACAACAGAGTATAACGGTTTATAGTGCCTAGATTGTCAATACATCTGAAAGCAATTTGAGGGTAATCGCTGGCAAGTGAAATGGCTGTGTATTTCTGGGCAAACACAGTGGCCTATTTGTGGAAAAACAGCCATGAAGTGAAAGAGCAATTTGGAGGACTGTTGGCAGGCATACTGGAAGGAACTCCCTTCTCTTTTCAAAAGGGAATACATTCAACAGCGCCTAAAACTAGTTTAGTTGCTTGGTTCAGCTAAGCAGCTTCTGGAGCAGAAAGGCGTATACAGCAGAGTGGTTTTAAGTTCATTTCCCATCATGTGCCTGATGTCAATGTCACCACTGTACCAGGAAATGAGACTGGTTTTAGGACAGTTTCAGTCAACAAGGTCATCTGAATCGTGTGATGGTCTTAACACAATCCCGAGAACAAACGTCAGCCTTTGTGGGTGTGCAAATTACATAGTGCCTTCCTTTATTAAAACTATTTCATGAATTTAACCTTAATTAAATGACTTAAGCCTTTATTACTAAAATATGACCCACACAAGGTGTTGCCTCGATGTACAGAACCTGATCCAATAATTCATTGGAGTATGAGAGAATTGTTCCCCTCCTCTCCCCCTGCACGGTGTTAAATTTAGTATTTATTAGAATCCATTAACAAAGATCAAAAAGATGATTCTCCGTGTGATAAAATGACTGGGTAAGTGCTTTGCCTCGACTGTCCAGATGAGATTGAAACTTAATAGATCGCTGTATCAAATGCAAGGATCATTATTATTAAGATGATCAATTGCACACATTCCCAAAGACTCAGATATAGCTTGTTGATATACCTCTGTAGTGCGCTAAGTCACCTATTTGTTCCCATTAGCAGATCAGTACGCAGAATTTTTTTTTTAGAAAAGCAACTCAGTCTTCTCTGCCCTCCTGAAGGCGATTCCTTTTCCTTCAACGGTTCCATGTCTTACTCAAGTGGCTGCTGTCCACTTTGTCAGTGAGTGTGTTGACATGTCATTTTACCACAAGAGGTCATCACAGCAAAACCAAATTGCCTTTCCCACACAACAAACCACACGCAGACACACACATATCTTCCAGCAATGGGTTTTTGAAGGGTGAGCATCATAGAAAGGATATTTCCTACTGCGACCCCAAGAGGCTCTGAAACCGATAGTAATGTCTCAACTGCTACCAAACAGGTTCAACATAAGAATCAACGACTTCCCACCCATAAAGTTTACAGTTTTGAGAATTATTTAAGTAGAGAATTCTCTGACAAAATGGTAGCAAGAAATAAAACCAAAAAAGGGAACGAAACTTGTTTTTCCAAACTTTTATTGAAAAGTTACAGTGATGGTAGCAAAGTCAAATATCATCATGTAAATGGGTCAAACAACAAAAGGACCAATGGCCAGAAATCTGGCCATGCAACACGCTGAGCTGTTCCTCACTGAAGTGAGACGAAAGCAGAGAAATTAGGCAGCAGAAGCAGTTCAAAGCAAATGGAGTTCAAACAAGTGCACTATTTCTACAGGAAGAGCAAGAAAGACGAGGAAATATTAAAAAGGCAATAAATTCAAGAATGTTAACAAGACAAGGTCTAACTTCTGCAGTATTTCCACTCTGAATTGCATTCTTTGTAAAGTAGCACTTTGTGTGGATACTCTAGATAAATGCACCCTAAGATAGTTTTTCTTTAAATAAATAAAACAAATCCTAACCAAAATAGTTTGCAAATGATTTTAAAACATCCAGGTTTGTGTCACAGAAAAATATGCTTATAGTTTTTTTTCTACTAAACTTAAGATGAAATCCAATCTGTACAAAATAAGAATTTTTAATGCAAATAAGTAAAGCTCTGCCCTTTGAGCTGGCAAGTTGTGAACTGAGCATCATTTGGTTTGTTTGTCATGGAGTGCACTCCAGTCACATACCTTCCATGTAATGTCTATGTGAGCGCTGCTAAATTGGATCTTTGGCAAGTTTATACTGTATTTATTTCGCCCAAAGCTAACCTTATTCAAATTGAAATGTCTGTATATATTGCGCTTCACGCTCTTCATGCTTGCTTTTAAAAAGCAAATGCACTTTCCCTCCTCCTGTGGTCTCATGCTATACATCTGACCATTGTCCATCTCTCTATTTCACATAACATCCCAGTTGATGCTGGTAGAGTGTGCCACTGAATACTTACCAGGAGCAGGTGCCCTGGCTGATTTTTACCCTCTCTAGCACACAGATATAGCATCAAATAGTAGCATGAACACTGCTGCTCTGGGATCAGAAATTCAGTGCAAAGCACTGCTTTACGCTGGGGCCCTTCTTGTGTATATGGTTTTATATGGCAGCGCATTATACCTACTGAGTCCATCGGGACATAAAGTGGAGCGTTATCTTTACTCCAGTGCTCTGAAGATTATGTTTGCTATAGTCGGCCTTTGTATCTGAGCTTTACTTATTGATTTCATTAACATGCAATATCTATTGTATATTCCACCCACCCAATCCTTTTATAATTCTGTACAACATACATAATGTCAGACTGTTCATGCTTTTCAAGTGCAGTCATATTTTACAACATTTTATACTTTGCCAAATTCAGTCGCTAATGAGCACACAGCTCTCAATAGATGAGAAGAATTGTATAAAATGGTTATGTTTGCTTTACAACTGGAGTGTGTAAACAATCCAGGCTACAGACTGAAAACATCAATGTACTGTAAATTAAAGAAGGTACACAACAGGACTAACTGCTTCATCAGCATAAATCTACACATCAATTTAAAAAAAATACTTGCTGGATTTTCTATTGGGTCTAATTTATCTGAACAGGTATCCCTTACATCTGTACAATTTTTTTTAAGTAGAATCATGGGAATGAGATTCATATATAAACAAAATGCAATTCAGCAGAAATTTAAGAGTTAAAAATTACAATGTTAGTGCAATAAACAAGCAAAACTTAGAAAGCAAAGATTTACAACTATCACTGACCCCATTACTAAACACACTCTGGACATATCATGGGCTCGTGAAAGGGTTAAAAAATACCACACAAGTTAACCTTTGCTCTTTCTTTTTAAAAATACAGTTAATGTGAACAGTTAAAAGAACAGATCAGTCAGTGTGAGAGCCCCCCTCCCACCCCACTTCTTCTATGAGTTGCAGTCTCCTCCTCCAGATAGAACAGCCAACGCAGACACATTAAAAGAAGCTACAGAGAGAAAAACAATGAAATCATCAACAGAGCAAGATATTTCAGCCCATACACACACGCACACACACACACAAGGATCTTGAACAGAAACTCAAAAGCGAACCCCCAATGGAAAAAAAATGCAATTTTGAAAGATTGAAAGCATGCAAACCTGTCCCGAATGCCATAAAGGGTCCCTTAAGTGAGGAATCATTGCTCAATGGTCAAAGTTACGAACAAAATGAAGACACCGATGTAAGATGAGGTATAACCGACTTTAATAGTTTCAAACACTGGAATAGATTGGAAACAATCTGTGTCGCCATAAGCAAAGGGGGGTGGGGGTTGGAAATAGCACAGACCGAAATGTACTAAAATAAAAATCCTACATAAGCAACAATCACAAGTCATTGTAAAAGAAAAACCTGCATAATCGATTGAGAACAATTGCATGAGACAGTGCACAAAAAAAATGGTGGCGGTTCTGAACAATGTACTTGGTTTCGGTTTCATTAGAATGACTGACCTGAGAAAATACAAATGTCTCACTAGTTTAAAAAAAGTTACAAGTTTCAAAAATAGCGCTCAATTTTTTTTAAAAAAAATGTCAAAATTAGAAAATAAATATTGTGCAATTTAAAAAAAAAACATAAAACACACACACACAGGGCCCAAACTACATATTGTATGTAGAGAGCATGGGCCTAAGTAGCATGCACTTTTCTGGTGTACGATTTACCATTCATTTTATTTTTTTAAAAAAAAGAAAACACAAGTTGTTCGATCGCGAAAAGATGCGCGCAGGTAAAGGCTTCACGTTTCAAATGCTCAGGCCACAGCTGGAGTGCTGCTATCAGTAGCTGCCCTTCTAATATTGACCACTGCTTACAAGAAAAAAATAATGGAAACGTGTTCCATATCACTGAGGGCGCTTTAATTATTCAGTGCAGAGCCATGGGGTACTGTAAAGGAAGAGTGCAAAGAAAAACACAGACAGAAATGAATGGCAGCGCTAAGGAAAATCTTACACTTCAATTCACATTTAATGCATACTTAAAGCCCTCGTGTGGCTTGAAAGGCATCAATTTTACACAGTCAGGCAGCCCTTCAAATAGCAAGTGCGATAATAAAAGTAGAATAAAATTCATTTATATATAAAAATATATGAATAATGTTCTTTTGAACAGTTCTTTTCAGCGCGGGAATGTTTTGGACCCGTTTTATAGATGTACCAATGAATGAATGAAAACAATGCACATTTGCATTTTTTTTTTCCCGCAAATTGACTTATCGGAAGGACAAAACAACTGGAAGGAACAGGTGTGAACTAAGTTCAGAGTGCGGAAACTTAAACAAAATCTCAAATGATTAAACTGGAAGAACATCTTCGACGGGCTAGCCAGAGTGCCTGAAAATTAACCCACGAATGGACAAATGCAAATGTGTGCAACTTTGCAATACTGTAACTAAAACCCAAAGAGCTTATTGCACCCACGCTTCATAACTTACATTTTTCTCCTTCCGAGATTATATATATTTATGTATGTAAAAAAAAGCTTCATTTTTCCTTTGAAAAAAAAACGAATGTGTTAACGCATGCGTTATTTTAACGTACCTGAAATAAACTCAAGTCATATTATTTCAAGTTAAAATAATATAAAAAAAGAGAGAACTGTTAGATATGATCACATGGTTCGGTAGTCTGCAGTGCGAACAGCAAATGAGAGACACAAACAATGACGATTTCATGCAAAGGTTTCCTGTGCGTTTCTAAGGCACCTGAGAGCCACATGGTCTTATTGTTGGGGTTATTGAGTTGCACAGTCTCTGATGCTCATTTGACAGCTCGTGTTGTACCATGCAAGCACTGAAGCGGTAAACTGGAAGTCCTTTTGTCAGGTTCCATACTATTTATTTCTGGATTCCTCCATTCAGCACAGCCACAGTATCAAGTTTGCACACACAAGTTTACGTGGAGGGTAGGAGGGTAGGAGGAGGTGGAGGAAAGGAGATGGGAATGGAAGGCATTAAGCGCTGCAATGTAATTGGGAGGGAAGGGGAAGCCATTCCCAGCTTGCCGAGGGAAGGATTCTACAGGAAGCCTGAACTGAAAATGAAAGAAAAGTAGGATTAATTTTTCATGAGTTACTTTAAACTAGATGAATGTACAAGCCAAGTACGGTTTAATAAAGTAAATAATGAAATGAGCACAGGTTTACATGTTAAATATGAAAATGTCCTGCTTCAACTTTTTTTAAAAAAAAGCAAACACACAGCAGTGGAACTAAGGTTTTTGAAATGAAAGGAAACATTTTTCCATTACCATCACACCATTTTAAGGAAGTAAAGCTAAGCTTTTCACTGACGGAGGCTTGAAGGAGCTCACAAACAAATTGGGCACTGGGTAACAGAGAGAGAGAGAGAAAAAAAATCAAGTCCATCTTAAATGACCCTTTGCCATTGTCCTGCCTGTGACACACGGAAGCTGACAAGAACAGTGTTTTGTGCAGCTTCCTTGGCCTCCACCAGTTGTTTCATACTGTCCCGGGGGGTTTTGCACTGAGAGACAAGTAAAACCATTAGGAAGAACCTTCCACTACAGAACAGGAAGTACAGAAGAGCAAATAGCACTGCCCCGGGGCACCAGCTCTCCATATAAGTGTTCATTGCACTCTGCCGTCAAGCTACAAGAATCCTATCTCAATATCAAATGATTGAATCTTACTGTTGACTACATTAAGCATTTCCTGGACAGTGAAACTCTCTCCTCTCCCACGTTTCAGTTAGAAAAAGAATCGAGGAAACCCATCACCATTCAAGATGGATTTGTTTTTATTAGATATTGGCGGGGGGGGGGGGGCGTTGTTGTAATGAAATTTATTCCACTTGATCAACAGGGGAAAAATTGGAATCCAACCAAAATGAAGCACTTGGCTGATTTAGAAGGGTTTGGATGTGCTTGTTTTTGGTTTTAAATAAAACTGCACGATATAGTCAAACTCAGTGAACAGAGTGCGCTAGCTGTTGTGAGCTGGGCCGATAATGGGAGGGAGGCACCTGCCCTTACAAAGGGTCTACGGAATGGATTTGTGTGTTTTTTCTCCAATTTCTCATCAAAGAGTCGTGTTCTGGACCTGCGAGGAGGAACAGCAAATATTACAGCAAATATTGTTGGATCGCTTTGCTGGTTTGGGAGGAGGCCCCTGCTCTCCGTTGGTAAAGCGTTTCAGGTGAAGGAAGGTAATTCTACATTAAGAACTGGCACCCCTCAGGCTTAATTCCTTCATTGCAGTTTGGTCTGGTTACACTCAATCTCTGGGTGCCCGCCACAATATCTTTTTAAGTATTTGTCTACGCAACAAATCTAGCCAGCCCAGGAAGCCAGAAATCCAGTGAAAATAATCTTGGGGATGCAGTACCTAAACAGAACGGTTGGTTTATTTGATTAGCAGGCGCATACCATTTTTAAAAAAAAAATATTTAAATTTCCAATAAACAAAACGACACTAATGCGCACCCACACACACACACAAATCCACTAGTGTGGTTGGTGTGATGTTTAATACCCACCAATCTAAACAGACCATGACAAGGTCCTGAACTGTACTCCCTACCAGCCAGTCTGGCACAGACCATGCAGAACATGCCTGGAGAACTATAGAGAAAGGGCCCAGGGAACGTTTCTGTGTGATAACGGACTCCACTGCTATGGTTGATTGTTAGTAGTCAATCAGGCTTACCAGATATTATGGGTCTCATGCAGGATGCAGCAAACTGTTAACTGTAAAAAAAACAGTTTACATGCAGTAGCTAATGTGGATGAACTGGTAGAAGGTAAAGGAAAATGTACACAGACATGCTCAAATATTATGACTGATCCCTCCACGCTCATCTTTTATGGCAGCAAAGAAATAATCCTTGTGTTTTTTTGGTAGTGCGTCCTATCGGGTCAGAAGGACGTCTCAAAGCGCTTCACTGGAATTACTGTGTAACGGAGTGACTGTGTATTGTAGGCTAACGTGGTAGCATAATCGCACGCATTAATGTCTCACAAACAGCCATGGAGTGAGTAATCAATTTTATTTGGGGGATTTGTTGGCCAAAGCTCCCTTCTCTTTTCAAATAGTGTCAAGGGATCTTTAACGTCCACCTGAACAGGCAGACGGGACCTCGATTTAATGTCCCAGCCAAAGAACAGAAATGCAACATACCCCCAGCACTGCATTAGAGTAATCTTGGACTACGTGAGTTCAAGTCCTGACATGGGATTTGAACCCACAGCCTTCTGATTCAGAGGCGAGAGTGCTACAGCTGAGCCAAGCTGTCCCACCAGTCAAAGTGGTGGGATAAAGATGAAGGGCTAAAAAGTAACAGTACCCATTTAACCCTTAATGAGCTAGTCACAGCACTTATGTCAACTGGCGATTGTGCCTGTTTGTTCAGAAGGAAAATAGTTAATGCACTGGACTCTATTTGTAAAACCCAACATATACATGTCACTTCATCTTTTTCTGCACAATTTTGACTCTTGGTTTTAAACATTTGTTCTGCAGATTTTTCAACTCAATCCATTTGGAATTTGTTAGAGACAGGAAAAGTGCAATGTGTGAGTCTCACACAGACACCCTGTTTCCTGTGGCTAAAGTGGCTGTTTGGAGGAACGGGCAGAGCAACCATTTTTGTTGGAGAACTGGCCTCTCCAGTGACATTGCCCACAGCCTATGGTCTCCATTCAATACCAAGCAGCGTTCTGTTGCTGCAGTGAGATTGCAACAGAAAGCGTCTGTGCCCAGACAGCTTCTGGACAGCAGTTTTAACTCAAAATGAACGCATGGAAACAAGACACGGCAGAGGCATAACTAAGTGTGCAGAGTCTTTACAATATTTGAGAATTGCCTTCAGGATGCCGGAGAAATGATTCAAAGCAAAATACATTCTTCTCCTTAATTCTAATTGCTCCAAACACATTGAGTCAAACACCGGCAAAGCTCACACCACATTGAGGAAGCTTTAATGTTTTGGGTGTGTTTAAATGAAGCTGACAAATGAGTGGGTCACTGATTGTGCAACTGTGGTCTCTCTGAATAGTTTCAATATTCAAATATAGTGTGTCCATAAATACACTCCAGAAAGAAACCTTAACAATACTGTACTTAGCCTGAAACTGAATAAAGCACCACCCACTTTAACCGTCAAAGCGCTATATGTTTTGTGCAAATAGCTTCCATACCAACTGTGAAATGCTACATACGATGTCCCATTGATAAACTATTGCCTATTTCTGTGAAGTACATATTACTCTATGCAACTCCACGTCACTAATTTTATCAAAAGTACTATCAAGAGATGGCAAGAATTGATAGGTGGTGAGCATGTCAAGTCTACTTGCCGCCCATCAATACAATAAATACACTGCATCCAGAAACCATGGAGTGTAATATTGATATAAAGAGAAATATTTCTTTGGGTACGAATCCCTCATACAAAAGCTTGTGGTTACAGCAGTCACAATAGAGCCAAAATGCTCTCACATTTTGACCACTGCACAACAATGGAGCATTGAAGTTTTTTTTTGCCAAATTAGATCTTGAATCGAAAAAAAGGGCGGGGGGAGGTTGGAAGGTGCTTAGCTAGGAACTTCGGAAATTTTACACACCACGAAAGAAACTTTAACCGTCTGCGTTGGTAATGAAATGTATTCCACGTGGTCAACATGGGAAAAATTGGGATCCAATCAAAATGAAGCCGACTTAGAAGAGTTCGGACATGCTTGGTTTTGGTTTCAAAATAAACTCTGCACGATATCGGCAAACGCGATGAACAAAGTGCCCTCCCCCGGGCCGATACTGGGAGACAGCCGCCTGCACAAATACACAGACCTTCAGGTGCAACGCACTAAAACCGAAGCCGCATTGGTCATTTCATCCACCACCGGTTAGAGACCCTTTATGTTAAATGGCACTTTTGCGGAACCCCGCAAAATGGAAACGCAGAATGGAAATGCCTTATAGCTGCCGATGGGCCTCGAACTTATCTTTTGAAAATGAAATGGACTGCGGTCTCCAGGAGACCAAACGGTTTTAAAAAAAACGGATAAAGTGTGAACAATAAAAAAAAGAAAGTGCTTACTTTTTCCGCTCTTTCTCTCGCTTGAGGGTTTGCTGGCTTCCTGATTGCTGGGCCTGGGACTGAAGCAGCTCAGCCGCAGTCTTCCTCTGTTTGAAGGCATTGATCTCATCATCCAGGCTTTTCTTCTTATCTTCGAGCTTCTTCTTCTCGTCCTGGTGAAGTTTCTTCAGACGATCAAACTTATCGTGCAACTGAAGAAATAAAAAAGGACTATTTACATTCGGACACGATACAACGCGACGGTTTGGGTGATAAAAGGGCCACGGCAAAAATGACCGCCGATCAGCGCTTCCGTGACATCATTTTCTGTGAGCTATGCAACCGTGCAGGAAACTGGCAATCGATTTTGCTCGCTGCTCTAAGGCTGCTAGATGCTGGGAGACCTTCAGTGCCTGTCGTGCTATGTGTAGGATGCTGGCAAGTTAACGGCAAAAGCCCTCTGACTGTTGTGATTATATGGTTTACACCGGTGTCCGTAGTACCAAACCCCGGAATAAAGTAGTGCCTTCAAAGGGGGAGGAACAGGCATCTTGCAAGCTCGCTCCTCAGCAAATAAAAATACCTCTTTCTCAGCTTCTTTAAGTTCAAACTCTTTCTCCTTCACTCTCATGACAAACATCTGCCTCATCTCCTCCTCCTTTTTCTGCAGCTCTCCGAGAAACTCATTCCTCTTCGCTTCATAAGTTTCCTGCAGGCTACAAAAGACACCGGCATTGGTCAGTCACCGAGCCCCTGCCAGGAGCAGCAAGATCAGCAACAAGCTAAAACATTTCCAGCTTATTACCTACAGGAGATAACAGTGAACACACCCATCAGTAAGAAAGTGCACAGGTTTCAAGAGCTTAACCGCATCTCGATATTGTCTTCTCCAATTAAACATTAAACGTCCCATGTACACTATAGGGTTCATTGTCCGATTTTCCGCCTGGTAGAAATCTGTCACAGAGTGATCTATAACACCTTGTAGATCACTTAGAGGGTGGGAGGGGGAAACAGAACATCGAACGAGCATCACTGCCTGTGCAACACTGCTCCAGAGGCCAGTAAATGCGGAATCGATTTGGAGAGGTTTCAAATGGTGTTTTGGAAATACAGGTAATAGGGGACGTGGAGAAAAGGTGTTGAAAGATCCACCCCGGTGTAGTAAAATTGTCAAACTGGCTCGACGCACTAAATAGCAGGCTCCTGTTCCTATTTCGGAATGGTGCCCTGACCAGCCTCTCAGCCCAGTACCTGAAGGGTTTGTTGTCGGGATCCGTGTCCTTGAATCCCATCTCCTCCAGTTTGCAACGTCGGTACAGCTCGTAGTGACGTGCGTGTGTCTGCTCCCGAAGGTCCTCCATGTTCACTCGGATCAGCATCTCCCGCAGCTTCACAAAGTCGCAGTGGGCTTCATTCTCCACTGCAAAAGCAAGTCCACCATTGAAACGTTCAACTCTGGGGTTCCACTAAAAAGTAGTCCTCTATTCGTGTAATGCGACAACAGGTGCTTCCTGCCTACATTGTTGAGGGCATAGAGCCATTTAGCTGCAGATGACTAGTCACTGCAACTTCTTCATATTGGCAAGAGGAGAAAACGCACCTGACTTCACACAGATATAAGGGACAATAGTTAAGTCACAAGGTGCATATCTATGTGCAGTGATTCGGAGGTCTCGTGATGAACACCATATGGAACCATATAGAGGAAAGGGTGGGTAAAGCTTCTAATAAAAACAGCTCTTACCTTGTACAGTGCCCCATGGATACTGCCGCGCCTTCATCATCTTGTTCCCGATCTTTATCTCCTCTGTGCTTCCAACTACAGCAAATGGCAGGTGTGCCTGAAACACACACACACTGGTGTAGCTCAGCTCATAGGGAATTATTATTGCTGCAGTTTGGTGGAATTTTGTCACGTTGCACCGTGCCTTGCTTAGTGAGAAATGCCATCCTGTGTGTAATGTGCAGTCAAAGGGAGAAAACCTTTTACGTGTGTAGCAGAACAAAATTCCCAGATAAATGTCCTCCTGTTGTATGGTGATTTTGCATGGTTTATAATATAATAATAATAATCCTTGCATTTGATATAGGTCTTTTCACATCTTCTCGACGTCTCAAAGCGCTTCACAGAATATACTGTAAAGTGAATTGACTGTATATTTGTGGGCGAAACGCGGCAGCCAATTGCTCACAGCAGTGTCCCACAAACAGTCGTGGATTGAAAATGACCAATTTATTATTGTTTTTGGAGGGATTATTATTAGGCGTGTGGAGTAAGGAAACTCGCCCAAGGTTTTGCCCTGCCTGGAAATGAACCCAGGTGTCTCGCTTGCAAGGCGAGTGCTCTAACCACTGAGCTACAGGACTCCACAATGGTTTGCAATGAGATTAAACATTGAAGGTTTTTGTGCCTGCAACAACCACATCATCCACGTTTGCGAAGCGATTTCGGATGTCCTCCTAGATAAATGTAAATTGTACTGTGCGTTCATGGAGTGTATGTGCAAGCCTGCAGTTGACTGAGCAATAAGGCATGCATGCGTGTGTGAAAAATGCGTTTGCTTGTAGACACGAAAGCGTAGCTGCAGCAACAGTCAGCCTGCGATTCGAAATGCAGCCACACAGATCCGCGACAAAGCCATGTGGAAGATGTGGCCAGTTTGAGCATTCGCTGACTGATGAGATGAGACAATTGGAGCGGAAAGCGATTTGATCCCACGTGAGGAAAGCTTGCCTCTGGCTCCAATGCGGCCACAATGCTGTCGGCGCACTCAGTAAAACATAAGCGGTCTTGAAAGCATCCAAAGCAAATAAGGACACAAAAGGGTCAATAAAATCTACATATACATTGAGCAGTTTTGCACTTCCTTATTAAACTCTTTGGAGGCAATGAATTTCCTCTTTTCTTGTAAATCACATGATGTGTAGAAAAGGTTCTCACTCCTCAACTGTGCATAGCACTTCATTGCACGTGATTTATGTTCACCCTAAAAATACAGAGTCAATTCCCTTTAGGGGATATTCTGTAAATCGCGTTGACATGACAAAGCGCTATATCAAATGCAAGTATTATTATTATTATATTATTAGTATATAATTAGTATATATTATTGGGTCATTTTCAATCTACGACTGTTTGTGGGACATCGCTGTGCGCAATTGGCTGCCGCGTTCGCCCACACATATACAGTCAATTCACTTTACAGTGTGTTCTGTGAAGCGCTTTGGGACGTCCTCCCGACGTGAAAAGCGCTATATCAAATGCAAGGATTATTATTATTATGATTATTATTATTGAACACACAACACTCCCCTTGAGCTGGGCAACTTGTGCTTAGATATTAGCTGTCAGTTTACACCCAAGAACAGAAGTGAGCTAAGCTATTCTAGCTTTGCAGATTTGAAACGCTCTCACGTCCAGCCGATCAAACTTACGTTCATTGTCCCATTGATCTCGGACACGGTGTCATCGTCAGTGGGGAACTGGTAGATCTGCACTCCGTTGCTGACTAACTCGCTCATTATTTTGATCTTAAATTTCTGCAGCTCACTCTTGGAAATGGAATCTGCTTTGGCAATGACTGGGATGATATTGACCTGCAGGAGGATTGAAGGAGAACAGTCTTTTAAGCATTTCTGTTGTTCAGTGTGGGGTGAATAATAATGAGTTGCAAAGCATTATACACAACTGAGTGATTAATCTTAGAAGCCTTCAAGCATCTAAGGCTACAAATCAAAATCACTGCCAGCCTGGCTCACAGTGTGGATCAAATTAAAGCAGTAAGAACTCATCTGGACAGCAGGCAGCAATGTTCCACAGACATCTGTGCCCTTAACACAGGCCATCTTGTATTTGAACTCATTTAAAACAAACTAGGTTTGTTGAATCAACATATGGGGGGGGAGTGGGGGAGAAAATTGGGAAATAAGGACACAAAACAGAGCTGTATTTTTTTCATGAAAAAAAAATGAAAACAGGAAGCATCTGCAACAGAGCACTGCTGAGCAAAGCATCACCAACAAGTCTTGTGGCCCAACCGAAACAACAGTTATTTCTCTCTCTGTTCGCACCCCATTTTCACAAGGCAGTGCTCGGGGGCAGACAAAAAGTCCCAGGCCTCGGCCAATGACACCCAGGAAGAGTATTTGAGGAGGCACACATTGCGTGGGCACTGGGGTGGGATGGGATGGGATAGAGAGTGTAACAACAACAACTTGGATTTATATAGCGCCCTCCACGCCAGACGGCGTCTCAGCCAAACCAACAGGATTCACTCACAGAAGAAGGAGATCACTTTGAATGGCTACTGAGAGTTGGCATTTGACCTTCTGGTAGAATTAATGGCAGGGCCACCTGCAATGGCGCCAATACCGTCAGTGGCAGCAAAGCCTGATGCCAGCCTAACACAATCTTACAGAACAAGCAAATCGTCAATTCTTGGATTTACAGCAATTTATCTCGTAAGGTGCCCAAGTGTTCCTCCTCCCACCCCGTGCCCCTTGGTACCTTGCTGTCCAGTTTCTTCATGGTCACCAGGTCCAGAGACTTCAAGGAATGGCCGGTGGGAGCGATGAAGTACAGGCAGACGTGGATGCGGCTGTCGTGATAACTGTGCAGCGTCCGCTTAATCTTCAGCTCCTCCTGCAGGTAGGCTTCAAACTGAGCATCGATGAACTCGACGATAGATTTGTAGCTGTAGAATTAGAATAACAGAAGCCGGCTGTTTTTGCTGCTTTTGTGAACACGGGGAGGTTAAACAGCAACGGCCTTTGATGGAATTCTAAAGCCACGCACGAGAGTATCACTTCTACACATCGTGTGATCGAGGGCCGGGTCCTCTGAAGTCAGAAGGTCCTCATTATCTCAATCTGCAATTTTGTCTTACAATGTGACAGTTCACAGGTAGGTGGGCTCGGTGGGATTTCAAGCCCACTGGCGCTTACGAGCTTTGAATGCCCCTTCGTGACTTGTGACACATCACCTCGAACACTCCCTGAACTTCTACTTAATAATAATCCTTGCATTTGATACAGCGCCTTATCACGTCGTTGAGACATCTCAAAGTACTTCACAGGATTTACTGTAAAGTGAAGTATTTTGTGGGCGAAATGTGGCAGTCTACTTACTTTCTACACCAAACATTCACTCAATCTCAGTCATGTATCGACATCTATTAAAGGGTATTCCTGACCTGTCCTCCTTGTTAATCTGGTCCCCGAAGCCCACTGTGTTCACGATGTTCAGTTTCAGATGCACGTTGCTCTCTTGCAGATCGTAAGAGCTGGACTTGAGCTGGACTCCAGGCTGGTTGTGAGGAGCTGGGTCACCTTCGAACTTGGTGTTGAACAGCGTGTCCATCAAGGTGGACTTCCCAAGGCCGGTCTCCCCTGAAAAGGCAACAGAAATTCACATCACAAAACAAGCAAAGTGGCCCAAAGCTGGGCACAATCCATTGATCTCACAACCACAGTCTCTGGAGGAAACTTCAACCTACTTTACCAACACATTGTTTGTAGCTAAAATCTGGCTATCGGTTAAACTATTAGTTGCCCCCAATGTTGTGAAGACTGACAATGATTCAGGTGATGGCATTTATTTCTATGGGTGAAGCTGTATGTCACTGGCAACTTCCTTCTTGCCGAAAAGCTTTATGTGGTCTTACCTAGAATCGCTGCAGTTAATTCCGATTAAACAAAACTCATCACAAAGTTGGGGTTATTCCAAAATGCTCCCAAACTGCTAATGTCTACAGTGGCAAAGATTTGCCAACTCCAACCATTCTACAGCATTTTGGCACTCAATCCCAGCAAGATTCTGAAGAAAGAGACACTAAAAACAAATCCTCCTACTTCCCTAGCGATGCGGGGGAATAAACACACTGGTCTGCTGCCAGTTTACAGAGCCTTGAATGCTTGCTTAGTCAACCTGGACATAAGGCAGGCAGATCATTCATTGCTAATACTGGATGATGTAATGACAGCTCATTCTGGTCTAATTGCCAATTTTTATGTTGCAATAGAAAATGTTACCAAGTTTCCATTTTAATATAAATTTAGTTTTACCTCTACATTAATGGTAGTGGGACACAATAACCGGTTGTGCGACTAGCAGCGTTTTCAGGCCAGAGAGAGAGAGAGAGAAAAAATAAATGACGCACTGTAAATTACAAAGAAGAAAAATCTGATCAGATTTGAGATCAGTCAAGATCACAGAACCACATTACACTCTGGAGATTTGCAAGTTAAACTAATCCCACTGGGCTGCCCAGTTCCAATCTCTGCTTCACTGATCAGAAGGGCCGATTTACTAACTTGGATAATCTCCTCGTCCAAAATTATAATCAAATAATCTTCAGAAGATTAAAATCTTCCATCTGGAAGCGTGTTTTTGTGTGTTCTCTGAAGTCAAACTCTCAGTCCTCTCCCATTGGAACTTAAGAAGCGCGAGTGAACTTTTTACCCCACTCACGACTCATTTTTCGGGATTGGCCGTGATTGTGAGAAGGTTCGGGCGATTCACTTGAAGGTAAAAGGCTCCCTTAAAGCTATTTGAATGAAATGTGGAGTTTCTCCCTCTCATTTATCGTGCCTAATTTTCTCCCACAGGATGAGTATCCCATCCCCTGACCCCCGAACGCAGATGCGCACCTCGCATGGGATTCCATCCCGACAGCAAATTATCAGAACACCCAGGTCAAAAAATTAAAAAGAGAATTGCGGAATTAAATTAAAATTCACGAACAATAATAGAACTTGTGTTCTTCACTTGTAAATTTAATGGGCTGCAAATATTTTTGTGGGGGGCGGGGGAGGTGGGAAAAGGCCGGTCACAATCTAGCAGCCTCTGGCACGCATAAAAAAACAACAGCAGTAACTACTCAGCATCAATGGCTCATCTTCCATTCACGTTCCAGGCCTTTATTCACCAGCCAAAGTGAAAGGACAGCAGTTGGCCAGTCGGGCACGATGGGGGCTGAATACTACAAGGTGAAAGAAATGAATCAAAACCACTTTTCTCTTTTTTTAAAAAAAGNACATTTTTTTTCCTATTTAAAGCTCCAATTTGTGCATATTGGGGAAGAATTGTGGCCTTTGATTTGGAGCAGATCCGAGCACAAAGGCACCCTTGAGCCTCCGAGCCAGAGTGAGCGGCGGTGGCATCCTTCAGCACACTGAACAGTACGGGAGTGTTTGTCTGTGAGCTCCAGCAAGTCTCCCGCAGGGACATTCTGCCAAACCTTCTGCATTTTACAAGCACGCTGATCCTATGCACAGGGCATACTTGTTTAGAAGCCTTTACGCAGGCACTGTTCACTCAGCAAAATCTGGAGGAAGAATGGTGCAATTGATGCACTGAATGCCTCAAAATACGTTGGGATTATTGCCACCTATGAAATAGCCGACCCTTGATGAGTTTCAAGCAGCTACAAACTCTTGTGCTCTTGCCCATCCGGCTAAATAACTTCACTAACTCCTTCCCCACAAATCTGTAATCAAGACAAACATGTAGCGTTGCTCACAGCTACTCACAAAAAGGATGGTATTCTTTAAGCAATAATCCGCCTTGTAATCGCAGCATTCGGACACGGTATATTAAGCAATTGAGCCTCGTCCTTCAATGATTTTATAACATTAACCAGCAGCCTCTTCACTCTTTCAGTAAACATATGGTGGGTAACTCCTAAATTACTTAAATTGGAAACTTTCTGAGGTTGGTATGATCAGACTCATATTAAATGGTTTGTTACTGACTCCCACGTAATACCATGGCTCTTTAATAAGCTGCTGCACAATGCTAAGGGTCATCTGAAAGGCTCTCAAACTACCCAATAATCCAATCAAATAGGGGCCATAGATTGGTAATGTCAATCACTTGGAGACATTTTCTCATTTTTTGAAAAGTATGATATTAATGTAAGTTGTTACTGAAGTCAGCAAAATCCTCGTTTCTAAGGGGTTTCAGAGTTTCTCGCACTGTACTAAGGGAAATACCTGGATCAAAAAACAAACCTAAAATAACAAATTCAAGTTAAAAATACTGAAAAACAAAGCAAATAGGTGGACAATTACGATGGGGCTTATGGAAGCTTAACTGAGCGACCAGACAGAAGTGGGTGGGTGGCTGAAGGAAAATAAACTGGGCGACATTGTGTAGGATAGACTATTTATAAAGATTGCCCTGCCCACCCAAAATCTCATTGTAATATAACACAACTTTCTCAGCGGCAAGATGCGAAACAGTGAGTGGTAAACATGTGGGTGTTGAAAACACACAACTGGGCAACAAGACAGAGATAACTGACAGTAAGTTATTGACCTCATAGCCTCGCATCCTGGTGAGTCACCTTCAAATCATACCTCAATTAAAAGGTACAGTATTTTATTCCAGTACACAAAGGTAACTGTATTACTATTTCAGAAATTAATGCCATGACGCTCACACATCCAAATGTCAATTACATTTTATAACAACCCATGATTAAAGGTTATCAAGCACCCTTGATTAGCTTCAGTTATTGAAAGATTTTTAATTGTATTTTGAAATACTATTTCATAAATGAGACATCAAAGACTGCAGACTCGCAGCTTTTATTTTTAAAAAAAACAATTTCCCAAGGGTCAGATATTTTTTTGATAATGCCGTACAACAGAGTAGAAATGTGGGTGTGTTATCCAACATGGGAGGGAAAATATCACAATACATCAGTCACTCTGTTGGGTCCAAACACGGAAGATTTTACAATTTAAACTGGATGTGCTGAAGGAGAGTATCATTACCCGACACATCTAATCATGAACTGAACTTCACAGACTTATCCAGTGCCAGAGAAGGTCAGACTGCAATCTCCAAGAGATGACCAGTGAACCACACTCATGCAGAGGTTAACTGACCTGTCAGTCCGTTAGTCAATCAGTCAGAAGGTGCTTATTAACCACAGAGGGTTGATTACCTCAATATGCAGTTGATTGATGGACACATTTAACATTTTCACCCCACGTCATCCAGCTTGGCCTGTACAGTGTGAAGGTAATGACTGGTTGTTGGGGGAAATTGAGCCAAGGGTTACAGATTTGGCCTATGACTGACGACAAGCTCACAAACTCCAGCCGAGCAAAGCTGCACCCAGGACAATGCACTGCAGCATAGAGTGAAGTATCAGTATTCTAGAGCAGTGATTTCAGTGGCATGATTGTCAGAGAAGCCCTCAATACAAACCAAACCAAGTTTACGCTGGGTGGAACAACTGCAGTACAAGGCACATAAATGGCTTTACCCCAAGACAGAAAATCATGCTTGTGTTACGGAGGAGAAATGACACCAACAGCCCCCACCATCAGTAAATTGGGAAGGAACTGTCTGGCAGTTTCTCTCCTGCGCCTAGCCCAGAAACCTCCCACACTGGTGTGAAACTAGGTTTGTCATACTGACCAGTCATAACCAACCTCTGCTTCCTACGCATTTCCTTCTTTGACCCTGTCAAAAAACCAAGTCAAGTGTGTGACAAGAAACTCAAGAATAGTGAAACCAGGCACTGGCTTGGAATCTTTCCAACTCCCATCGCCTTTATTCTGAGTGGTCCCACTATGTAATTGCTCCGCAAAACGATTCCGGAACAAGAGGGCAGGCAGCGAGGTAACCTATTCCTGGGAGGGTGCCAATGCCACTCATATACCCACACCCCAATATACAAGACAAAATAGTAGGATTCCGTTTACCACCCTACAGATTCCAACCATCTTGATCTGAAGAGTTACTGGGAAGTAACTGCACTGATGTCCTGGACAATATTTATTTGCATCAGCAGATCCCATCCACCAATGAATACATATACTCGCCTCACCATAACCCTGGCTGGTATGGGTTTTCTAAAGTCTCATTGTTCAAGCGTGTGCAATCTACACGGCTCACGACGACTGTAAAAGCACTGTAAAAGTCTGTTGTGAAATAGCCATTCATCAGTTCCACGGGATTATGAATATTGATAAAATTCTCAAAATTATTATTATTAACATTATGACTCAACTCCTCTCCCAATCTGGATCCTATATATTTTTTAAAAGAAACTTTCTTTTCCCCTTTCATTTCCTTTTTTTCAGTTCTTGGAAAAAAATGAGTGACTACAAACAAAAACTGTTTTACTCTGTTGCTGCTTGTGGAGACAAAGTAACAGACAATCGTATTGAAGGTCATAATAATAATAATAATAATCCTTACATTTGATATAGCGCTTTTCACGTCGGGAGGACGTCCCAAAGCGCTTCACAGAACACACTGTAAAGTGAATTGACTGTATATTTGTGGGCGAACACGGCAGCCAATTGCGCACAGCAATGTCCCACAAGCAGTCGTAGATTGAAAATGACCAATTTTATTATTGTTTTGGGTTTTGGAGGGATTATTATTATTAGGAGTGTGTTGTAAGGAAACTTGCCCAAGGTTTCGCCCTCTGCCTGGAATGGAACTCAGATCTCTCGCTTGCAAAGCGAGTGCTCTAACCACTGAGCTACAGGAATCTATGATACGCACCCGTGGAGTTTAATCATAAACGTGTCATTTTGGGATTACATGCGTGGCTTTTAGGGAGTCCCTGTGTTTTCATTATACTTGGCTTTGTGCCTTCCCACCCACAAACTCTGACCATCAAAAGTTACAATTTATTGAATGGTGAGAAGTGACATCGCATTAGGCTGGTTATGGCATCAAATCATTCAATGCTAAATTTGCCGCTGTCAAATACTTCATTAGCCCCCCCCTTCCCCCCAAAAAAAATTGAGATGCACAAAGCTACAGGCCTTTCTTAAATCCTGTAGATATTTCTCTCAAATTCAGGAGTCCCGACTTATCATCAGGACAAAAATGTATTTCTCCTCCCCCACCCCGCAAACACACACACTGGCTGCTGTACACTCATAACAGAGCAAACGTGGAAACTTCATATTCGTGGTGACTTTCCAATCGAAACGACCTGGACGCAAATAACAGCAAAGTAGCCAGAAAGGAAACATTTAGTAAGAAGAGTGTGCCTTACCCTCATGAGCGTAACACATTGTCTTACTATTGGACACTAGAGAAAGCTTCCTATTGGGAGGTCCATCAGTTCAGTACTCACCCACACACAGGATGTTGAAGCAGAAACCGTGAGACACAGACTTGTTGACTAACTGGTCTGGCATACTGTCAAAGCCAACGTGGCCCGACAGCGAAATGCTGCGGGCACTTTCAGTCTGCGGGGAGGAAAAAAAAATCACGACATCAGACATTGTCCATCCAACTGAGCAGTTATTGTAACATTTATTTAGGTATCCTGCCAAGTACTTACACGACTTTATTTTTTTAACATAAAGTATCTGAGAATAAAAATCTTAGGCATTCATACAGTAGATCAGATGATATAACTGTTGGGACAACCACAACACAGGGAGGAATAGGAAGTGAATGAATGATGTTACTTTCCACCCAACAAGTTGAAAACAAATATTTGTGTTAATAAAAAACTTCAAAAACCAAGGAAAGAAATTCCAGGCTGGACAAGTCCCAGCATTGAATCACTGCATAGCAAACTCAAGCATTTTGTATTCACAGCGACAATAAACTGTCAGTGAAATATATACCAAGCCAGGATGGATTTCACTCAGTACTTTACAACAACTTGCATTTCACGCAAACGCACGTCCTTTCCGGAATGAAATTAATGTTTCCTGAACGTAAATGTGGCAGCTAATTTGTGCCACTAATGTCCCTTACAAACAAGGTGTGTCGTTCATTAAATAGAACTTTAGGTAGGAACATGGATGAGAAACATGTCAATGATTGGCTCCAGGACTGATCAATTAAACCAACCTAAATATTATGCGGTATTAAAAACATCCCAGTACAGAACAGGATACCTATAATTCAGCTGGCTATCTACGGGCAGGTGTTTTCACAGACTGTCAGGACTAATTAGGTCCCCATCAAGAATTAAAGATTACAAATACAGTTTGAAGAGCAGTGGTTTAAATTAACTGTGTTCTCTTGCTATGGTTACAGTGATTGCTAAGCAGTGGCCATCAGGAATCAGAACAGCTGTGACATGTTATGGTTAGAGCAAGAACAATTCACCCTATTCATGACATCAACAGGAACCTACAATGGCCGTTAAGGATCAATAGAATGGATTCTTAGGTTCCCAAAAGCACAGATCACTGAACATGTCCAGTACAGTCCCAGGACCATTTACAGATCACCCTGCTTTTATCATGGAACATAAAATTTTGATTAGAACCCCATCAGTTTTACAAACCCTTTTAAAAAGTGCAGAGTATTAACCTCATTTACTATCAATATAATTATCATACAATTGCTGTAAGTGGGAGCAAAACATGTTTTAAAGTGGTGTTGAAGAAATCTTTGTAGCAATGAGGAAATTCTTTATTTTTATTGAGCCCATGCGTTTGACAAATAGTTTGCATTTCTGACCGCAAAGCTGATGCACGTTTCAATTCCTGTAAGGTTCATCTTTTATCTCATTTGCAGAGAGAACAGCTTGCAGGACCCACAGCCCTTTTATGGCTTGTCAGAAACAGGCTTCCCTTCAAGGTGGATTGCTGTAACTTCACATGAGCTTGTGATGAGAATAAAGTGCATCAGATAATCGGAAAATGAGAGCTTTGTTAACCACTTAGTGCCACTTCCACAAGGAGAGGAGCATTAGGAAGGAAATAGATTTTTTTAAAGTTACTTTGGGAAAGCTGTGTGAAACTTATTCCCATTTTCTGGCAAGAGGCCAGTAAATTAATACTAGATTTGATTTGATTCCATTCCCAATTGTCTATCCTAATGTGCGTGCGAAACTTAAAACTCACGTGCAAATGTAATGCTTAAAAAGCATTCGTAGTCAATAAGATACTGCAGGTTAAAACAGCTTTGGGTACTGCAGATCATCAATAAATTAATCAGATTTTAATGATTATATTTAGCCATCAGGAGAGTCCTGAGTCTCTCATTCAGATAACTGACCTCATCTGTTAACAAAACTCAAAGTTATCCTATAATTGTGGTTCATGTTTCTCAGTCATTTCCCTTGATGAAATGTTTTGCAGTGCCAGAGAGCTTTTTGAGGTTGTGTTAGGTTTATCCCATATCTCATAAAATATGCTTCTTCCTGAGACAATGTAAATCAGGGCAGCGGTCAGTAACCTGTCCCATTGAACCATTCAAGCTGAAAAGTAGGCAAGACTGAGAGCAGAAGGACATAAAAAGATTCAAAGTGATGCAAAGGTAAAGTGTTACAATCGCATCCTCTCTTTTCGAACTTGGTAGTGTTTTGCTCTATGAAGTTTGACGTTTCGCCCAGTCTTTACCAGTCTTTATGTATTTCCACGTTACTAATAGAAACTGGGATTCCGTACTAATTCTGGAACTGTCACATGTGGCAAAATGGATTTGCTGACATTTTTAACATGAGATTCTTGTTAAATGAATAAGGCAATGTGAGACTGTAGCAAAATGATAGGGTAGACACAGAGTAGAACAGACAGTTTATGTGCGGTTTCCTGTTTCCTTTTACTATTTTTTCTGGTTTCTGGTTTAAACCGTAAGTAACCATTACAATTTTCTAAGTTACCATTTTAATTTGTTCTTTTAAAAAAAAATCAAGTTTTCAAGTAGAATCTCTTTCAATCTCAATCCCTTTTGGACAATTTTCTTATTTATTTCTCTTTGCTCCCCCTTCCCCCTGCCCACCCACACACACGCTCCCTCCCACGCACCACTACATGTGCTGACTCTTTCCTGGGCTATAATAGCACGGACACTTGCCAATGCATTACCCAACTGACCAAAACAGTGAGTCAGTTATCAGCAACAGAAAGTATGATCCTGATTCCAGCAAGCACTCAGGGGTACTCTTAACAGTACAATGCAATAGCAACCACATCTGTCCATATGACTCAATACACCAATGCTAAAACACTCACATCTGCATGATTGCAAATGCAAGAGCTACACTTGGGAAAAAAACAGGATAGAAGTCTTCTCCAAGTAAAGAAGGTGAAGTATGATAGTTAAAGAGGTCCTTAGGAGAGTTTAGTAGCTAGAACTGACACCTCAGTTACATCTAAATGGATTTGCATGTACAGCATGTCAAGATCTTGAACACTACTACAATGACTCCTAATTTTACTCTCGTAAAGGTATGCAAAGGTTGAAATGCAATGCTTAATACAACAGTGCTCAACTGGACCAGTGATACAGAAAATAGGCCACAAACCAAACACAGGAAAGAGACTTCTGTGTAGAATAGTTCGTAAAGAGGCAAAACAAAGATTGTCTACATCAGTGCTCTCTTTAGTTCACTTCCAAACAGAACTTTCAAATAAGCCTTTACTCTTAAGAGCATTGAATGTGCAAGAGGGAAAAAAAGAGAAGTAGGAGAGAGTCACATTTGTCAGGAATCTTATATACCCATCCGGTGTGAAATATGGATCATTTGAAGTATTCTTGAAAGATCTCCATTTGGGAGCCTGTTGAGATGCTGAGGGCCCTCTGGCAATACCTGAGTATAATTTGTGTCATACGCATTAGGATAAGTTGATTATCACTAGTCAGCAACTACTCAGCCAACATACAGATGGGGTTACACAATATTATGTCAGAAAGACTAAGTCACAAACTCATTCAAAAACAAATCCAACACTACTGACTGAAATGATACACACTTGCCAATTATTTGGGAATAAATACAAAGATAAAATAAATAAATCTTGCATTTGACATAGAGCTTTTCACGTCTTCTAGACGCCTCAAAGCGCTTCACAGAATATACTGTAAAGTGAATTGACTGTATATTTGTGGGCGAAAAGCAGCAGCCAATTGCACACAGCAGTGTCCCACAAACAATCATGATTTGAAGTGACCAATTTTATTATTTTTTTTCTTGAGGGATTATTACCAGGCAAGGAAACTTGCCCGAGGTTTCGCCCTGCCGGGCTTGTGAGGCGAGAGCTCTAACCACTGAGTTACAGGACTCCTATGAAAAACAAGCTACAGGAAGATGAAAAAAAAAGTACAGGTTGCTTGGGAGCAGATTGAAATGAAATGACCAAGTTATTTTGTACTGGAGCCAAGCATTGTTTAAATACTTTTCACCGTAGTATAAACAAAAACGTGTAAACTACCAGAAATAATTCCTCAAACAGTAAAGAAGAAAAAATAAAGATATCTGTCAGATTTCATCTCACTACACTACTTTCAAATCATCTTTATTTCCAACTGTAGATCTGACATGTCTGCCAATTCATAAGATAATGGCAAGCCAGGTTCATTGGATACTGCAATGCACAATCTCTGAGCAGAAACATGATATTTATAGTGTAACATGCACTTTGTTTAACAGTCAACAAAACTGCAGCATGGTACTCATAAACCAAACTCTCTAACCTTTTCAACCTCATGTATATTTCCTTTCTCCCACCCCACCTTTGGCATATACTTCTATGGCCACTTGGCCTTGTAAAACATCCTCAAGAAAGAGCCTAGACAGTGAGGGTCTGCACTGTATTTCAGCCATGGAGGGCATCATGGTTCAAGCCCCACGTCAGGACTTCAAATCATTATGATATAAGTTGATACTCCAATGCAGTGCTGAGGGGGTGTTGCAATATTGGAGGTACCGTCCTTCAGATGAGACGTAAACTGAAGTCCTATCTGTCTGTCCAGGTGAATGTTAAAGATCTCATGGCACTATTCGAAAAGAGAAAGGAGTTTCTCCCAGTGTTCTAGCCAACAATCCCCCCAAATAAAATTTGTCATTCACTTCATAGCCCTTTGTGGGACACTGCTGTGCACAACTGGCTGCCGCGTTCGCCCACAAAATACAGTCACTGCACTTTACAGTATATCCTGTGAAGCTCTTTGAGATGACTCAAAGCAGTGATAAGGCGCTCTATCAAATGCAAGGATTATTATTATTATTATCATAGTGGAGATAATTCTGTTCAAAGGCACACAAAGCAGAAAAATGGAGGATGTTCTGGTTCTTAGAGGTAAAGTGACAGAGACGTGGTTCAGCACTTGGCTGTACCGGAAGCTGCTAAAGGGGCTCTACAAGTGGAGGTAAGATAATCCATGACTAGCACTACCAACTCTCAGTTAAAGAATCAAGAAACTCCTTGAGCATTAACCTTGGAATTAATATATCACCCCAACCCTTCCAACCGATATGTTCCACATTATGAATGGTATTAATGTTATGCTGCAACTAATGCATCTTTAAAAGAGACATTTCCATCAGCAGTTCAGAGTGGTTCACTGGGCCTTCCTGTCTCATGATACAGGGGACTTTCACCACGACCTGGACACCAAATATGGTAAAAGATGCAGAGGAGGGAGAACAAATGGTGGCGTTAACACGAAATAACAATTAAATCCAAAGCAAGCTGCTAGCAGGAGTACAGACCAACACAATGCGCTAAATTTGGTTTCGAAGGTTTAAACTGGAAATATAGATTTCATATAGATGGTTAAACAAATGCCTGATGTGCGTGCACTGGGTAGAACAAACCAGTTACCGAATGGGACTCATCGTGGATTGCAGCCTCATATGGTAATATCAAGACGTTACTGACCACGGGATACATTCTGTATCAACAAAGCTCACAAAGATCTCTCGGCGAGATCTTTAAATAACAGTTCACCCATTGTGTTTTTTTTCCCCCCCACAACGACGACAACAACAACTTGCATTTAGATAGCTCCCTTTTCACAGGGTAGGGTCCCGGGGCACTTAAAGGAGATATTTTACAAAGCACAACAAGAAAGGGGGATTGTCCTTCCAATACGAATAACATCTTATCGCTAAGATTTCAGGCCGGGGTTGAAATCACTTGAAATCATATCTCTCTCTCTCTCTCTCTTGCAACATGTCCCCCCCCCCAAGTGTCAAGTCTCCCCACCCTGTCACTGGGCTGTATAAGATGCCCACCACCTGAAAGGCTGCAGTCAACCACACAACACCTTTTGACAGCGGTGGAAATAATGCTCCTGAGAAGCTCGTGATTTTTTTTCCCTTCTGGTCTGTGTGCAAAGAAGGGGCGATTTCCTGAGCTCTCAAGAGCAGGTCTCTCTCTCTCTCTCTCTCTCTACCCCTCGCCCTCAGGATCCTGATTAACCCCCCACCCCCCCCCCACCCCCACCCAAACAAGGGGGGGAGGGGGGGTGGGGATCGTTTTCGCAGCTCTTGCAAAGAAACAGTCTGGGTGTTTGCAAGTGCCCAGACAGACAGACAGACAAGACAGACAGACAGTCTACACAAAATAAGACGCCCTAAACCGAGCGAGTGCTGCACGGAATGTAGAGGGGTTTGCTCTGGGGGGGGGGGGGAGGGGGGGGAGGGGGGGGGTATTTCTGCAAAACTGGATCGCAATCCATTGCTCATTCGGAGATGCATTTACAGTTACACGACAACGCCCATCGTCCTTTCCTCCTCTCCTCTCCCTCTTCCCTCCCGGTGAACAAAAGCACCGTTAAAGGGAGGGTGGGGGGGGGGTGGGGGGGGGGGGGTCGATCGCCTTATTTTGCCCATGCAATTGGGGTGTGTCTGTCTCCAAACAACCCCCCCCCTCCCCCCCCACCTCCCCCCCCCTCCCCCCTCCCCCACCCCCCCCCCCCCCACCTCCCCCCCCCCCACCTCTCCCCCCTCCCCACCACCTCTCCCCCCCCCTCCCCACCACCTCTCCCCCCCCCTCCCCACCATCTCTCCCCCCCCCCTCCCCACCACCTCTCCCCCTGTGTGTGTGTGTGTGTGTGTTTGGGGGGTGGGGGGGGGCTCTGGCATTTCAAAACCTGCCAAATGCTTTGAATTGTTTTTGTGTGTGTGTTGCACAATAAAAAACACACAGCCACTTAAACAGGGCTCGTGGTTTTTTTTAAAAAATATTATATATTATTTTTTTTAACCCCCCCCCACAATAATTACAGCTCCCCTCCCGCATTCCCTCTCAGCTGCTCACCGTTTGCCGAATTACTTCCACAGCCGCCATTGTCGATCCACCAGTGACAGGAAACTCCTCAGGACATGTGCAGTGTTATCCACTCTCTCGCCACTGCCAACAGTGCTGTGTGGGGGGGGGGTGTGTGTGGGGGGGGAGGGGGGGGGTGTGGGGGGGAGAGCGCAGAGCGCACGCACACGGTTCCCCTTTGGCTCAAACAGTTCTGCCCTCTTCTCGGGACACCGATAGCCTCAACTAAAGATGTCTTTAATCGAACCACAATTCGGGTTATTTCGGGGGGGGGTTTGTGGGTTGAGTTCGAACAGTCCTCCCTTCCAGCTCCCCCTCCACTGGCAATGGCATGTCCTCACCCCCCCCCCCCCCCCCCCCCCCCCACACACACACACACACACAAACACAAACACACACCCTCCAACCCCCCAATTCGGTCGGATTGACTGCACCGTTATTAGCAAAGGAAATAGCAAGTCGTGTATGTAATGTGCTTGGGGTGGGGGGGATGGCTGGGAGGGTGGGGGGGGGGGGGGGGCTGAGGGGTGGGGGGGGGGGGCTGGGAGGGTGGGGGGGGGTCTCTCTCTCTGATGCATTTTCACTCACTTCACCTGATCCAGTCAAAGGGAGCCCAGGGCACACCATTCAATAAGTTTAGTGCTTTCATATTTTTTTATTGAAAAACAAAACATGAATATTTATAATTGCAAATACATTGTTTCCAGTGGTCCCCCCCTCTCCCCCCCCCCTCCCCCCCCCCCCCTCCCCTCCCCCCCCCCCCACAGATGCTCTTCTGGTTTAGAAATGACTCGTTTGAACACATACCCTAAAAAAAAAGTAAGATCGATCCGAACTAAAGTTGATATGTAAATATATATTCGAAGGACTGGACGAGTATTTGCCACTACCGGGTCTTGTTATAAGGCACCGAACGGCGAGTTGAGTGCGTCGGCGAATGAGAGGGACAGAAATTCAACGTTTTCCTCTTAATGTCACGCAGTTTTGCTGTTTGCGTCATTGGAATGAAACGCCGACAAGTTCACACCTCCCACAGAGAGAGAGAGAGAGAGAGGTGCGTATTGTTTGCGGGAACATCACACACACACACATCACACATCACTTTGCACACTCACACACTTTGCACACTCACACACGCACACACACGCATTGCTTCTTTTAAGCCGAGTGTCGCCGGAGCGATGCGACTAACACAGGACGAGTGTCAAGTGGTCACGATGGTGAAAAATCTCACCGCTCCTGCAGTGATTATTAACCCAAACCTTTCGGATTAAAACCCAAGTATTGAGAAATAATTGCGTAGGGAAAAAAAATGGGCTGCCCCCCCCCCCCCCCCCCACCTCCCCTCCCCTCCCTCTTGTGGGTAATGTGTGGGATTGTACTGTAATTAATGTAAATACGTAGATGCATAAGGACTGATCTCCTCTCTTCCGTCCATCCCACTCTCTCACCTATCTATACCTTTTGTGTCGGCTGTTTCTGTCTCTGGCAAAATACCTCACGGGGAGGTTGGGTTTGCCCTGCAAATATGGATGTGTGGAACACTTCACGAGAACAGATTTACATCCACGCACACATTGCACTTCAGTGTTCTCTTTATTCTCTTTAAATCCCATCTGTATCGTCGGTCTAAATCAGAGCTTGAGTTACCAACTTGAGTTAGTGACAATAACAGAAAAGGCAACAGGACAACAACGTGCACTTATATATATATATGTATATATATATACATATATATATATAGCTCCTCGTGGTTCCAAAAAAAGTGGTTCCAAGACAACGTGCGCTGCTCCAGTAACAGTGTCGTTCACGTTGGAAGAAAGGAAAATGGGTGATGGGTGTTCAGTGAAATGTTTGAACGTTATGTGAGAGGCGTAAATAAACCATTGGAGGTTTGATGGCAGATCAGGCCAGAAGCATTTGGCACAACATCGAGCGATGGGTTACAATGGGGCATTGGTAAACCAGGGCATTCCTGCACTTTTTTTTTGTGAGTTAACCTTGATAATTAAGGTTCTTGTTCTTGTTGTTGTTGTACACGTGTGCAGTAAAAACGTAAATGACTCAGTCAATGACCGACTGTGTCACTGGTCCCTGGAAGTATGTAATGCACAAGCAATGGTGATGATGACATGGTGAGTCCAAACCTGCATATACATGCTGAGCAAGTGGCAAGTCCTGATTCACCAGCCACAGGCACAGCAATTTGAAACTTGTGGTGAAATAATCTATAATAATAATAATAATGATCATCATTGCATTCAATATAGCGCCTTAGCACATTGTTGAGACAACTCAAAACACTTCGCAGAACATATGGTAAATTTTCTGAGTGCAACTGATGGAAACATCGGACGATCTCACCCGCGTGCAGTTGTTTGTTCGAATAGAAATATTGCTCGAAGGCCTAAAGGTAGAGTACAACTATGTCATATTGACTGCTGTATCCAATCCCAGCATTGATATAGAACAGGAAAAGACCCAAGAAAGCTCCTCCCTTTTAATACATCTAACTCCTCCTCGCTGAAAGTGAAGGCTGTCCAAAGCTTGTGAATGTTAGGGCAATAGCTTCTGCGGTTAATGTTGCCAGGACGTATACCTAGGATCTTCCGTTTCTCTGGGGCGCTAACCTGCATTAGGGCTGCTATATAAATGCAAGTTGTCGTTGTTATTTGTTGTTGTTATTTCCGCTGCCCACAGTACAGACTGCGCTTGTGAAAGTCGCAAACGACATCCTCTCTATCTCTGACCAGGGCTCCCTTTGCCTCCTTGTCCTCCTGGACCTCTCTGCCGTGTTCGACACAGTCAATCACGCCATCCTCCTCTACTGCCTTTCCTCCGTCATCCATCTCAGTGGGACCGCATTTGCCTGGTTCGAGTCCTATCTCACAAACCGCCAGCAGTACATCTCCACAAACGGCTTCTCCTCTTGCTCTCACCCGGTCACCTGCGGGTACCCCAAGGATCCATCCTTGGCCCTCTCCTCTTTCTGATCTATATGCTCCCTCTTGGGGATGTCATCCGCAGATATGGGGTACACTTCCACATGCATGCAAACGACACCCAGCTCTATTTTTCCACCTCTCTTTGCGACCCCCAGTCCCCTGATGTTCTGTCAGTCTGCCTGTCAGACCTCAGGGGTTGGATGAGCGCAAATTTCCTTCAGCTGAACGTTGACAAGACAGAAACCATACTCTTTGGCTTTCGTCAACGTCTAAAATCTCACAGCTGTCACCTTTTCCACCTACCCGATCTTCCCCTAAAGGTCTCTGAACCCATCCGCAACTTAGGCGTCAGGTTCGACCCCCAATTATCCTTCTTTCCCTACATCCAGTCCCTCACCAGCACCGCTTCCTTCCACCACCGACGCATCGCCCATCTCCACCAATACCTCTCCCCAGAAGCAGCTGAAACCCTGGTCCATGCCTTTGTTTCTTCGGGTCTGGCTTCCTCCTTGTCTCCCGAGTCCTCCATTCCACCCTCGCCGGCCATGCCCTCAGCCACTATGCCCCGAGCTCTGGAACTCCCTTCCTCACTCCCTTCGCCTCACTCCCTCCCTTCCTATTATTAAGGTCTTTGCTGAAGACCTTTCTTTTCGACCGCGCCTTTGGTCACCTTCCCCCCCCCCCCTCCCCTCCCCCTGGCTCGGCCCCGGGATCCGGTACTGTGAAGTGCTCTGGAACGCCGTCCGGCGTGGAGGGCGCGATATAAATCCAAGTTGTTGTTGTTGTTGTGTATCAACTGGTTCCCAGAGTTCCTACTGCAAATGACACCACCATGGATCAGTACAGCTCATGAAATTCAAATCAATCTGTGTTAGAGCCAATAAACACAGGGTTATCATGCAATAGGGGAGGAATAGAGAAACAAAGAAGTGGAATAAGAGATTTCACATACTGCTCTGTAAATAAATGGTGCAACTTCTCATCGGATGTCACGCAACCGATGCTTTCTCTTACTTCCTTATAGGTTTCATTTTAAGCACTTTGCAAGATGATGTGTCTGATCAGCGATCAGAGGAATCTAACTTAAGGAATCTTGTTAATTCAACGGTGAAATCAACAGACAGAACCAGACAACGTCACTAATGTGAGATTAGGATTTAAATTCTTAAAATCGTGGTCATCTCCTTGGTTCTGAAACCCCCCCCGCAATGATCCAGATATTTTAAAAATCACTTCCTTTCGGCTTAACTCAGCGCCTTTTTTGTAGGGTTAAATTAGATTTTTTTTGGATTGATGTAGCAGTAATATGGTGGTGGGGGGGGGGGGGGGAGAGAGAGAGAGAGAGAGATAACTCACGTCTCAGGGTTGGTTAAGGAGTGAGCGAATTCAAATGCAGGTCCAAAGTACACAGCATTTATTTCTGTGGTGATGGGGAAGTCGTGCACGAAACCGACACACACACACACAAAAAAAAATGAGAGAAAGAGGAAATTCCACGGGGGCGAGCGTGATGGAGAATTTAGCGAAAGGGGGCGAGTGAGTGAGTGAGTGGGGAGGGAGGAGAGAGAGAGAGAGACCTCACTCATCTATCTGCATGTGAGAGTGAGTGTGTGCGGTTGTGTGCGGTATGTGGGTGGGTTTAACGCTCCAGTTAATAATTGACCCAACTCAACACATGTACACAACACACCCTCTTCACTCATTCCGGAGCTTGGACTCAACGGGTCGGAGAGTAATAAGCCCTCTCCACCCCCACCCCACCCCCCCCGAGGAGCAACCGAGAGAAAGGGAGAGACAGGAGAGAGAGAGAGAGAGAGAGAGACGAGAATGTTTGAAAAGGTCGGAGCTATGAACCGCAACAGGTTTGCGGGATCGGCCGGAGATCTGAACGCTTTCTACATCGGAGAGGTCCCAACCTCCCCGGGGGGTCGCCCCCTCCCCGAAGGCTGTGACCCACTCGGTTGCTGTGGGGTCGCCGAGGACGTGACCCGCTTTTCCAATCTCCTGGATCGCTTCCTGGAAAATGCCGAAAGTCCCCCAGGAACAGAGGCGGCTCAGAGGACAGCGGGTGACATAAATCTGTCTCCTTTCTGTAGACAACCCGAGAGGGGGGAGAGGGAGAGGGAGAGGGGAGAGAGGGGGGAAGAGAGGGAGAGGGAGAGAGGGGAGGAGAGGGAGAGGGGAGAGAGGGAGAGGGGGGAAGAGAGGGAGAGAGGGGAGGAGAGGGAGAGGGGGGAAGAGAGGGAGAGGGAGAGAGGGGAGGAGAGGGGTGAGGAGAGGGAGAGGGGGGAAGAGAGGGAGAGGGAGAGAGGGGAGGAGAGGGAGGAGGAGAGGGAGAGGGAGAGGGGTGAGGAGAGGGAGAGGGGGGAAGAGAGGGAGAGGGAGGAGGAGAGGGGTGAGGAGAGGGAGAGGGAGGAGGAGAGGGAGAGGGAAGAGGAGAGGGAGAGGGAGGAGGAGAGGGGTGAGGAGAGGGAGGAGGAGAGGGAGAGGGGTGGGGAGAGGGAAGAGGAGAGGGAGAGGGGTGAGGAGAGGGAAGAGGAGAGGGAGAGGGGTGAGGAGAGGGAAGAGGAGAGGGAGGAGGAGAGGGAGAGGGAGGAGGAGACGGAAGGAGAGGAACTTAACGACGAGGGTAACTCCGCGGGATCCACACCGACAAAGGTCCCGAATCCAATGGGAACCGCGGGCGATCCGCGGGGCGGGAGGCGGTCGGGGTCGGAACCGGAGCGGCGGGACGGTGTCGGGGCTCCCGGCGGCAGAGACCCGGCGGGAAGGGTTTGGGACGAGGGGGACGTCGCCCCCAACCCGTGGGGCACCCGGAAAAAATGTCGGAAGGAGCTGAACGCCCGCGGGCGCGGGGCCAGGAGGCGCCACGAGGAACGCGAGTGGCCGGACTCCGGCCACGGCGGGTCCGACGGGTCGGGCGAGTCCAGCGGGTCCGGCGGGTCGGGGATGACCCTGGACCCGTCGGAGCACGAGTGGATGCTGGCGGCGGCCGGAGGCGACTGGGAGAAGATGGCGTGGCTGCTGGAGTCGGACCCGGACCTGCTGGACCAGAAGGACTTCATCACGGGGCTGACCGCCGTGCACTGGCTCGCCAAGCAGGGCCGGACCGAGACCCTGATCGCTCTGGTGCGCTTCGCCGAGGGGCGAGCGGTGCGGCTGGACGTGAACGCCAAGGCGAGCGGCGGCTACACGGCCTTGCACTTGGCTGCCATGCAGGGCCACCAGATGACCATCAAGCTGCTGGTGGGCGCCTACGACGCCTCGGTGGACATCAGGGACCACACGGGCAGGAAAGCCTGGCAGTACCTGGGCGGCGACGTGCCCGGGGAGATGAAGCTGCTGACCGGGGCGCGGGAGGAGGAGATCGGGAGGCGGACCGTCTCCGAAGCCAAAGCCAAAGCCAACGCCTGTCCGGACCGGGTGGACCCCCCACGCGGCAAACCGGACCTGTCCGGGATCGTGTCGTTACGCAAACTGCTACAGCCATCGCAGTGGCGAAGGAGGAGACGGTGCGAACGGGCGGACACTCCCGCGGCTCTCCTCACGTGAATGAATGAATGAATGGACGGACGGACGGACGGATGATGGACGGACTCTGATGGCTTTGGACTCTTTTGCCCGAAGACTTGAGCCATTGCCGTCGGTGGCGTCGCCCACCGTCGTAGGATGCGCCGTACGCGTCTGCACTGGGTTTGGAGATGTCATGTATGTCATGTAACGGTGTTACCCGGACCGGACCCCTCCTTCCTTCTGGTTGAGGACAATTTTTTTTTATATGGCACCGAAGGGTTCACCCCCATCCGCACAGGAGAGGAGACTGGCAAACCATTCCCGGGAGGGGAGGAGGATGCACTTTCAGTAATTCCTTGGTGGGAATTTGGCATTTAGAATTTTTTTCTTTTTTTGGGGGGGAAGAAAATTGGTACCCACACACCCACCCACCCACCGCCCAAAAAAAAAAATGGGGAATTGACTCGGTGGCGATGATCTTTACATTTTCGTTTAAAGAGCATTACCGGGTCAGTCGTTGAAAAGCCGCTCAAGGCGAGCAATTGGGGTACCCGCGATTGATTACTTCCTCGCGGGTTTAAACGTTGCCCGGGTTGGTGGTTATTTTTCCAAACTTGGGCTGGTTTATCAGTTCGGCTCAGTTGGTCGATCGGAGTTGAGGTGCAGATCAGCCATGATCTAATAGAATGGCCGAAAGGGCTCGAGGGGCTGAAAGGCCTCCTCCTGGTCCTATATTCCAATCGAGATTTCTGTGGTGGTCTTCCCGCCTCATGTTGGATTCTGACTCTTCGTCTGGCCCGACGCTCTCTTGGGGGGAGGCTCTGTCCTGTTGGGAGGTGCAACATCTTTCAACAACAAATGATAATAATAATGATAATCCTTGCATTTGATGTAGCGCTTTGCACGTCTTCTCGACGTCTCGAAGCGCTTCACAGAATAGACTGTAAAGTGAATTGACCGTATATTTGTGGGCGAATGCCAAGATCATTTTTGCCTGTTCACGACACTACTTACACAGTAGATCTCATGGGGTTTATGACATTTTTCTATTCCTCTGTGTTTGGATATAACGCTCCTAAGTATTGCTTATTTCAGTAATGTTTGTAACTGTGATCTGGATGATGATGATGAATTCAGTCAGATCAAATAGATCGCCCCCCAAAAAAAATAACCGATCTGCTCTAAAAGATGCTAACAAATTACAATGACCTATTCTAAATAAAACCTGTGATGATTTTTCTGGTAAAGTTCAAATATAAAATACAGTATTTATTACAATATGAACATGACTGTGTATGTGAACTGTGTTTGTGTGTGTGTGTGTGTGTGTGGGGGGGGGGGGGGTTGTTGTATCCTATCATCATTGCCTCAAATACACATTCTCCAAAGATTGACAAACTTTTTCACCCGTGTTTTTGTTCTGCTGCGTCAACATGTCAGCAGATCTATAATTCGTTCTTTCTGAAGTGATTTTAAGACACGGAAAGTGTTTGTAAACTTCCATTGGTAACCTTTTGTGTCAAAACAAAAGTGTTCCCATGGACAATGTATTCAATATGTAGCTAACAACTTTGCAACCCCTTAAGGATTGTTTCAGAGCATTACAATAGAGTCATTTTCTTTGCTCGGCCGGGTGTCTGGCACAAGGGGAAAGCCATCACCAGGGCCAATGGAAAATTGTGGAAATATTTGCCAAAAATTGTGGGGAAATTTGACAACTTTTGATCACTAGAGTTGCCAGTTGGCCTATGCATTCATTGATGATACACAGTCAACACTGCTCGAAGTATGAACCGCATGTGAAAAAGAAATGAAAAGATACCAACGGTTTTGTGAATTCAATATTTTATTTCTACTGAGGAATGGTTTTGAATCAATTCTGTTCCTAAAAGCTTTTCGAAGGGTGGTGTCTGCTCTAATATGCCATGCTTATCCACCAAGACAATCCCTTGGCCCCTGAAGACGTGTGCAATAACTAACGTTTCAAGCACAAGCAGAAAGAAATGCGTGACAGTGCAAACGAGGGATCCAGAAGAGTTGTGGAGTAATCTTAATATCATACTCGTTTGCTTATTTTGCCAAACACGATCCCCCCAAAAAAAATACTAGCACACATTGTAATCAATCACCGGAAAAAAAAGAAAACTAAACTACTTGCTTCTCTTCCCTTTAGTGCATCTTAATTTCTAACCTATTGTCACATTACTATCCCAGTACTTTTTTTTCAAAAAAAAAGAAAATCACACATTCTTGCTTTCCTCCAGCAAGAGTCGTGGACCAGAGCAAAGAGGTTGGGTTCCACGTTTGTGGTGCTGCAATGCCAGCACCCTCTACTGGTCAGCCACACTTCGCCTGAGCCACAATGCTGCCAACAGGAAAAATATATCTCTAATGATAAATAAGAAAAAAAAGTAAAACTTAGTAAAGGAGCAGGGGCAAAAAACTAGTTAATTCTTATATAGCATTCTACTCATCCGTGTGACAACATAGAATGAGTCAAAAGTACTGGGCCGGCATTCCAGCAGGAAATGGACAAATATATTTTTCCCTACGAACCTACTTTTTCATGAAGGGCTTTTATTAAAAGTGTAAAATCCAAGTATTGTGTCACCTTCAAAGCCTCTTCAATGGAGCTCTAATGGTTCCTTTCTCCAACTGTAGAAATGCAAGAGTCTACACTGAATACAACAGGTGTGGTAAAAGTTAAACAAATAGCAAATGCGAACTTCATTTTTTCCTGGGCCTTTTCATAGATCCCACAGATAGAGATCAATGTATTATAAGGCCACTAAGAGTTCTCTCATGCAGTAATCTTCAATGTATTTTAAATTACGATGGCCCAAGTTGTTTTTTTTTTAGCATTTGCTAGTATAGTGTTGCTTTAGCTGATTGCATGTATCCTTTACTGGTATCTGGCTAGTAAAACAGATATTACCAACTCACTCTGGGTCTTTTATGCGTAACAAGCAGTTGTGTTATCAATCATAAATCTACCTTACGTTCTCATTAATCTCCAGCTGCAATAACCGCACACTTGCTAACATTGGAGCCTTGTGGCAGCCGTAATTATAAAGGGAAGGAAATTCCCATTCTGAAGAGGAAAAATACCAGTTTCAAACATTTTATCTGACAAACCAAAACGCTGTCCTCACTATCTGAACTCCTACTCGATAAGGACACTTCCGGATATTCCACGCTCAGGCTGTCCACTTGTCCACCTCATTGAAGAACACGATTTTCATTCTTCACTTTCCTTCTCAGCAAAACTCCTGGAAGCTTCAATCTCCTGCTGGTCCTCACTTTCATCAGGTGACCTCACACCACCATCGCCAGACTTTGCATTGGTCGGTCCACCTTTGCGGTTCCGTGCTCCAGGCTGATATAACTGCATAGTTGGTCGGTCCTAAAATGAAAGGAAGGGCACCGTTATTTTTCTCCCTGTGCATAATTTTCCTGATCTTACTGTTGACTCTAATTTTGTTTCTTCCACATTGTTTCCCCCCCATTTTAACACGGTACAAGGTGGAGTCCTCAGTGGTTTCTAGAGCACTCGTGTTGCTAAGCGAGACACCTGGGTTCAATTCCAGGCAGGGCGAAACCTTGGGCAAGTTTCCTTACTCCACACACCTGATAATAATCCCTCCAAAAAAAAACAATAATTAATTGGTCATTTTCAATCCACGACTGTTTGTGGGACATTGCTGTGTGCAATTGGCTGCCGCATTACGCCCACAAATATACGGTCAATTCACTATACAGTCTATTCTGTGAAATGCTTTGAGACGTCGAGAAGATGTAAAAAGCGCTATATCAAATGCAAGGATTATTATTCTCTTCTACCTCAAAGTTAATTTTGCTTGTTAGTCAGGTGTAGCTGGTCCCGATTAGCTGCAGTGTTTGCTTACATTGCAACATTCTCTATAGGACACAATTATTATTTTTCCATATAATAATCCCAATCTTTGAATTGATCAATTTCAGTTCCAACTGTCTCGTGACTCAGGTGAATACGTCTTTAGTATGTCAAAGAAATGTGGAGACTTCTTCCCAGTTATCTCGGTTTATATAATCCTGCTAATCCAAAATTATCCCCACATTCAAATGAAATTGCTGGTCATCTTAGTTGTTTACGGGACATTACTGAGCCAGATCAGCTGTCACATTTGGAGCTATAACAACATTCACTTTCAATTCTAATCGATTATATTTCGTACAAAATAAACCAAACAAAATTTTTCACAATTAGGAATCCTAAATTTAAGCAATGACTACTCTTGTACAGCTACGATAGACGGGAGTAACTTTACATGTTATTTGAGGCGGGCATGTAGACTACTGGTACTTATATAGAGGCAGATTTCAGGCATTAACAGATTCTCAGGTAATGTTGAAGCTACATGTAGCAGAATGCTGTACTTGTACCTTGTTTCTTATTCGTTCTCTCTTTAGGCTATCCTCCTTCTTGTCATCTTTTACTTTCTCAGACTTGTCCACACTTGCAGCAAGGTCCAGGTTTTCCTTTTTCCTGGCTTTTTCACTTGCTTGATCTTTTTCCTTTTTGACCTCTTCATCTTTCTTTCTGCAAAGTTTGTCTGCTTCACTTCGCTCCCTCTGTTTTTGCCGTTCTTCCTCCAGGCGTTTCTGCCGTTCCTTCTCTTTCAGTCTTCTCTCTCGTTCCCTTTCCTCTTTATCTCTGTACTCTCTCCCATCCTTCTCCCTATACTCCCTATACTCTCTCCCATCCTTTTCCCTATACTCTCTCCCATCCTTCTCCCTGTACTCTCTCCCATCCTTCTCCCTGTACTCTCTCCCATCCTTCTCCCTGTACTCTCTTCCATCTTTTTCCCTGTACTCTCTCCCATCTTTTTCCCTGTATTCTCTCCCATCTTTTTCCCTGTATTCTCTCCCATCTTTTTCCCTGTATTCTCTCCCATCTTTTTCCCTGTATTCTCTCCCATCTTTTTCCCTGTATTCTCTCCCATCCTTTTCCCTAAACTCTCTCCCATCTTTTTCTCTATACTCTCTCCCATCCCTCTCCCTGTACTCTCTATACTCTCTCCCATCCCTATCCCTGTATTCTCTTCCGTCATCTTCAACCCTGTCACATTAAGACAAAATGTTCAAGGTTCAAAATAGGAAAATATACAGGAGCAGGAACATGAACTACAAAATTGACCAACATCTAGGTCATAGGGTTTGGAAGGAGGATTCTTCCTTCAAAATGCAAGTTTAACATTCATGTAAAATGTAATTTGTTTCAAGAACAAACTAGATAGATTTCTACTAGACAATATTATCTTGGGATACGGTACAGTTTGGCACACAAGTCAAACGACTGCCAGGTTGGTGCAAGACGAACTTGAAGGACCTTGGTCTTCTTTCGCCTAGCAAATTCCTATGTTCTTATATAGTTGTTGGTAGTGCAGAAAGGAGATATTCCAGTATATCAAGAGATGGTCCTCAGTTCCTAACCGTATGAAAGAAAGGGCGGGTGGTAGCTAGCTTCCCACGTGCAGTGAGGAAGGAAGCGAGACTGGCTTTCATTCAAATACAAGACAAATTTACAACAACAACAACTTGCATTTTTATAGCCCTCCACGCCAGGCGGCATCCCAGGGCACTTAACAGTTCACAATGCTGAGCCACGGAAAGGAGGAAGGTCTTCAGATGCAACTGGAAAATGGGGAAAGAGGAGGCAAGGCGAAGGGATTAAGGAAGGGAATTGCATAGCTTCGGGGCATAGTGGCTGAAGCCATGGCCACCGATAGTGGAGGGGAGGATTCAAGGGACAAGGAGGTGACTGGAGCCAGTAGAGTGGAGGCAGTGGGTAGTGCTGTTAGGAGAGAGGAGGTTGGAGAGATAGGAAGGTACCAAGGTGTGGAGGAATTTAAACACTAGAGTGAGGATCTTGAAGTTGATCCGATCTGTAACTGGGAGCCAGTGGTGTTTGGCAGGGACTGAGGTAATCAGGATGCAGGTGAGAATGCGAGCGGTAGAGTTTTGGATGAGTTAAATTTTGCGAATAGTGGAGGAGGGGAGACCGGCGAGGCAGACAAACTTTACATTTATACAGCTGCCTGTTGGCACCTTCAAAGCAGCATCTTGTAAGCAACTCGAGGAAAAGTGGGAGACAAATAGCAAATTAAAATTGTGCAAGCAGTGATAAAACAATTCTCAACGGGTACAATTCATAAGCATATATAGGGTTCATTCATTCGACTCAATAGACCTGATAAGATCTTCCTGGAGGATTTCCTCCAGTTTAAAAATGATTATGGTGAAGAGAAGCTACTTGTTCAGCAAATAATGCACAGCAAGTTCACTTTAAGTTCAAATTCATTTTTCTTACTTACTTCTTTCCTTTATCTTCTTTGACTGAACTGTCTAGTCGTTTGCCCTGGCCCATAAACATCTTGTCCTCTTTAGCACGCTCTCGATCAAGTTTCTTCAGCCTCTCCTTTGGCTTTTCTGAACTTGGATCGTCCCCTTTGTCTGGCTTTCTCAAAAGCTACAGAGAAAGTTTTGTTGTTAAGACGTTTTGTAAATGTTTATCAGAGCGCTCACTCCACAACGCAGCTACTTCAACAGATTTATACACCATCTGAGGGAATGCTCTTGGTCTCTCACAGTAACTGAGGCAACAACAAATTGTATTTTTGTAGCACATTTAAGAAGCCGATAGAATGGTTTGAAAGTATTGCAAAGTCACCCACCAAGGTGTGACTTTTCCTTCCTGCCTGAGAGAGGGATTTAGCTTCAACCCGATGATAAATGGGGGAGGGGAAAGGAAGAGAAACCGATAAAAGTTCATCCTCCAAAGACCGGCCTCCATGGTATAGTATGGTGGTGAAGTTCCAATCTAACACTCAGTTGGGCATGGTAGTGGCACATATGGCACTGTATCCCAAGATGAATCAACACTTGCAGAAAATAAGTATAAGAAGGAGAAAACATCGGAATTAAAAAAACATTGGAAACAAAATAGTAGGAATTCTATTGGACCTTTATTTTGGCTTCTTCCTTTGAACGCTCCTTATCTTTGTCATATCCTTTATCTACCATCTTCTTTTGCTTCTCTGCTTCCCTTCTCTTTCGCCTTTCTTCCTCTCTCCATTTTCTCCTCTCTTCTTCTCTGATTCTTCTCTTTTCCAGCTCCCGTCTCCTCCTTTCTTCTCTTTTCTCTTCTCTTATTCTCTGGGAGAAAACAGCACTAACTATTATACCTTTTGGGTAAACACCGAAAAACAGTTACACAAAATAAATCTTAAACCACAGGATTTCAAGACAAATTCCAAAATTACCTGCTTATTCTTCACGTAGTCTAAGAGAGGTGTGGTTTTCTTAGCAGCTAAAAAAACAAAAAACATTAATTCTTTCCCATTTGTACAACACATTTAGACCTGATCTTTACACTTGAGTTCACATAATAACCACAGATGGCCATGGAATATCAGAATTTCGACAATCTTTAGTTACAATATCCACTATTTGTGTCACAAATGGGCCTCTCTTTTGCTCGTGACACTAAGGAAATAGAGACTCATCTCAGTATTTGGTTTTAAAAATAATGTGTTTCACTTATTAGTTAAAGATAATTTTCGATCTACTATCAAATGATCTGATGTGAAAAACACTATATAAATGTAAATTGTATTGTAAAGCCAGCCACAAGGTACCTGCAAGCTCTTTGGTTTTAGCTTCAATTTCCTCCAGAAGTGTTTCTGGATTAGCTGCAGTCTTTTCCTCTTCTGCATTATTGTAACTCTCTAAAAACTTCTTATATTCAGGATCTGGTCAAAAATAACATAACATAAAAAGGTGCAATTAAGATAAGTTTAGCGAGGTTCTCACAATTTGCACCCCTAGAGAATTCTTCATCTAATTATTAAAACAATAAAAAAACAACCCTGAGCAGAGGCAGAACAGAAGCAGCAATATCTACAGTGTTCCTTAGTTTGAAGTCAGAAAATTCTGAAGAAGCATTTAATCCAGGAAAAGGACAAAATGTAATAGAATAGGCTCAGAGCAACAAGTTAACAACTTAGTTCATTATTAAAATAATATTAAAGTATACCAAGGCATTACTATTAATATAAACGCCATACCATCGCTGAAGTGTATTTGTTCTGCAGCATCTTCAATAGTTCCGGCTTTTGCATCTTTCTTCTTGCTTTTCTTTTTGGGAATTTTCTGAAATGGAGCAAATTCTACTATAGCAGGATATTCTTGACCTATTAGGAAAAACACAACATAGCTGAAACAAATATATAGTCTGCCTCGTTTCGCACACAAAGCTTTACAGTTTATTCTATGAAGCGCTTTGAGATGTCTCAACGATGTGATAAGGCTCTATTTCAATGCAAGGATTATTATTATTATTATTTGTTAGTAGAGAGGTAAGTCTCATGAATGCGTATCGACATTGTCAAATGGCTTTCAATGTTTACTGGCATGAACGTTAGAAAACTAAAGTAAAAGGGGCAGTGTTACTAAACTGGTACGAACGCTTAGCAGAGGAAAATATACAGAAAAAAATGTTTGGCAATGTGCGAGAAGCTTATATTTGCAACACTTGAAGCGCCAAAGATAAGTAGTTCTAACAGTGTATGGTAAAGGAATTCCCTGATTTACATTACCATTGTTAAAATATTCAAAATGATAATCAGAATACACAAAAGGACATAATTCTTACCAGTATATTTTTGAAAAGCAATAGATATGAAAGATATTCAAAGCACTGCTCCAATGAAACTAACAAAGAAAAATCAAATAGTATATGAAACACTAAGAATTAGCATACCTTTGTTATCAATGAAAACATAGCCATCAAACTGATCCCTGAAAAGGACGATGTCTTCTTGATTCTTGAAATTGATGTATGCTCTAGAAAATACATGCGGATACAAACTGGGAAAAGAAAGGGAGATTTTATGTAAAGTCAAATAATTTGAAAACATGTAATCGACCTAAATAGTTTTGTTAAATTGTACGTTATAAAATCTGCAATCAGGAACTGTGTCATGAGGAGCTGCAGAGAACAGCCTTTTTTCATTAGATATATATCTACCCCTAAAGCTGACAATATAATATGAAGTCAATTTTTGAATAACTATATTGGTGGCTATACAAGGCGCTATACAAATGTAATTTTGTTGTTGTTGGGTGCAAATCCCGCACTAGAATACTTTAACATTTTAAGTAAATGATATAAAAATCAAATTTATTAATCTTTGCATTTAATGGAGTGCCTTATCATATCAAAACTCAAAGTGTTTAACAGTTCAGTGACTGTTACCGTTGTCAACCGTGACAGCAAATTTTAGCACATGTGGCAATGTCCCTATCCGACGACTTTGGCTGGAATTTGGGTGAGGACAGGATTTAGCTAATCTGTCACTTCCTTCAAACCATAGTCTTTCAACAATCACTATTTTCCTATAAATGACCACTTGGTTGAGGTACGAGAAGGTGCCTTGCACCCAAGAAAGAGTATGCCAGAATAAGTCAGCACTTCAGGAGAGAAAGAAAGCAATCATGGGAAGTCCACGGCAAAAAATATGGGTTTACCAAAACAGCAGAAATGAAGGAGAGCTAAGTAATATGGTCCTGGAATTTCCATATTTAAAATGGTGTGATTCAATATTAAGATAGGAGTTTCTTACCTTGAATCAGTGGAAAAAAATTCAAAGTAATCATGCTCAGGTAATGGGGCAAGCTGCTCTTCTAACTGTTCTTTTGTCAGACTAGGAGGCAAACGACGGACCACAACCTTATGNAAAAAAGTCAAAAATTCCTGTCAGCAATATTGCATGGATAACCAGCAATTTTAATGTTTCAACAATCAACTGTTAGAATGAGAAATGTATCTGAAAAACTCAATTTATTGAAGAAAAAATTTGATCTCCATGGGAGGAAGCAAACTGGTTCAGAGAAAAAAATCATAATAAATCCACAATAATCTAGGGCACATGTGATACTGCAGTTGACGACCTCACATCCTCAACCTATAGCCTATAAAGTAATTAAAATGCAAAATACTGCAGATGCTGGAAACCTGAAACAAAGACAGGAGTCGCTGGGAACACTCAGTATTTCAGACAGCAGCTATGGAGAAAGGAAAGTGAGCCAACGTCTTGGGTCCACAACCTTTTGATATAGTGCCTTCTCAAAGCTCTTCACAGAGTAGGCTGTGAGTTGAATCTGACTATATATTTTGTCGGCAAAAAGCAGCAGCCAATTGCGCACAGCAGTGTCCCACACACAGTCGTGGATTGAAGTGAGCAAATTGTTTGTATTATAATACCCAGTCAACAACAAACAAAAATGGTGCGGTTTACAGATTCCCAGAAAACAAAAACTGGTGTGTGAAACCATAAACTGGCGCAGTGACCCCAAACATTTAGTAACGCTCCACAAACACAGGTTAGTAGCGGAAGCACAAACAGGAACTTGTACACGAACGAACTGTAAACACTCAGCAGGACGGCTCAGCCCAGCCCGGCTCAGCCCAGCTCAGCTCAGCTCAGCCCGGCTCAGACCAGCCCGGCTCAGCCCAGCCCGGCTCAGCTCGGCTCAGCTCAGCTCAGCCCGGCTCAGCCCAGCCCGACCCGGCTCAGCCCAGCCCAGCCCGGCTCAGCCCAGCCCAGCCCAGCCCGGCTCAGCCCAGCCCAGCCCAGCCCGGCTCAGCCCGACCCGGCTCAGCCCAGTCCGGCTCAGCCCGGCCCGGCTCAGCCCAGCTCGGCCCGGCTCAGCCCAGCCCGGCTCAGCCCAGCCCGGCCCGGCTCAGCCCAGCCCGGCCCGGCTCAGCCCAGCCCGGCCCAGCCCAGCCCAGCTCAGCTCGGCTCACTGACTTGCACCACACAGCCCTCCCCCCCACCAGGCCGCGTCGTTCCCAGACTGTACAAACCTTAGTTAAGATCTCTTTCTTTTCTTTCTTCTCAGATTTCTCGTCGAATCTGCTCTCCACTCTCTTCTCCTTGGGTTTGGCGTTCTCCTTGTCCTCCTTCATGGCGCGCCGTGGCCGTCAGGAAGCCCCTCCGGTCCCCTCCTCCTGTCACTCGCAGCCCTGGTGATGAACGCCTGCGCGGGACTCAGGCAATAGGTTATCGCGAGGTTTGAACGGGGGGGGGGGGGGGGGGGGGGGGGGGTTCACGCATGCGCAGGAGGCGCCGTTCGTTTGCAGCGGCAGCGGTCCGCGCATGCTCTGTGGGGGTCGGCGGCCGGCTCCCGGGTCAAAGGCCGAAGCGATCGACAGTCGCCCAAAGTCGCTTCACTCGAAAGGCGAAGACGCCGCCGGGATGTGGTACGAGGTTTTGCCCGGAGTCGCTATCATGTATGGCGCTCTCTGCGTTCCTGGCATTGCCACCTTCTATCTTCACAAGTTGGCGTGCGGTCGGAAGGTGAGCAAGAGCTCAGCATCGGGGGGTGGGGGTTTTGCTGTGTGAGGCCCTTCACTTGCTTTCGCGGAGGTGACATTGGCACCTGCCTCACAGGGCACCCGTCCATTCCCGAGCGCTGACAGTGTTCACCGTATATGATGACATGCATTATTCTCAGAGAAGTATGTTAATATTCTGTTTTTTTTTAAAAAAAGTAATGTCCCACAATTTGCACCGTTGTTTCCTTGTTAGGAGATGAATAAATCGGTCTTTTCTTTCAAACAAACCTTCCCTGAATACTGTAGTATAGTCGGACCTGTTTTCAGCAGCAACCTCAGGAGATTGGACCAGAGTGGTCGTTATGTAGGGTGGTCTCTGAGTAAGGGTGTGTTGGTTCGTTGACCGGGCCTGAACGTTTAAAAACTTTCTCCAGGCAAAATTTCCGTGTGTAGACTCACACTAGACTTAGCACATTTACCTCGCTGTTTCCACTGATATTTAGTTAATATTTTGGAAAATATGTGGTTACTAATTTTTTTTAAATTGAGCGCTTACCTAACCATTCCACCAATGTAGCTTGAAGTAGCTGCTGTTTCATATTCACGTTTTAAAAGTTTTATTCTTTATTATGTCCAGGAAAAAAGGACTGCCCGTTTGCCTTACCAGTGGTCCCTGATGGAAAGAGATCGAAGGTTATCTGGCTCTAATAAGTATTACAAGTCGAAGGTAAATAATAATAATCCTTGTATTTGATATAGCACCTTATCCCAGCAACATCCCACAAACAACCATGGAGTGAGTGACCAACTTTATTTGGGGGATTTGTTAACCAGGACATTGGGAGAAATTCCCTTCTCTTTTCAAATAATGCCATGGGATCTTCAGAGTCCACACGTACAGGCAGACAGGACCTTGGTTTAACGTCTCATCCAAAGGATGGATGTTTCAGCAGTATGGCACACAAATTTTCAATGTGCTTATTTCAGCCACAACTGCTGCACTTTTAAGAAAAGCATTACTCACAATTTCACAATACAGTAGAAAATCATCAAGCAAAATCATTTAATTGGGAATATACAATGTTTAATTTTTCAAATTGGAAGAACAAGAAGCAAGGTGTGAGGAATCTTGTATATTTCTCCTCTGAAGATCATCAACAACAACATAATTACATTTGTATAGCTAGCGCCTTTCACACTGAGAGAACATCCCAAGGCGCTGGGATGATCAGAAGTATATACATGAGATCACCTTGCATACCATAGAAATGTTTTTTTGTACTATTGGTAATTAGTTCTTTTTAATGCTAAAACTCAATTGTCCTACTTAACAGGAAATTCTTTCATTAACAGGGTTTGGAAAACATCAACTGATGGACTATTTAACCTCAAACAATGGGACCGTAAATTCTAGACAGGATTCTTGCTAAAACCTTAGATTTGTTTCCTCTGTGTTTCATAAGGTACATTAAATAAAACTAAATAAGTCTGCTTATCTACTTTATTGTGATCTATGAAGAGAACATTGAATGTTTTCATGACAATAAAAACAAACTGGCAACATAATAACAACAATTATTATTGTTCAATTATTATTATAAATTACAACAGAGAAAGCAGATACTGTTGCAAAAGCTTAGAATTCAAAACAACAACTACTTGAATTTATAGAATGCCCTTCATGGAGGACAACATTTTGGAGCTCTGCACAGTTAAACAGATTTGTAGCTTATTTTCAAGCTAGAAACACCTGTTAAAATGGTGTTATACATGCTTTCATTTTCCTTAAACTACAGTAGCAAAGAAAAAAATCACAAAGTGAAACTAGGTTGGATTTCGATTGATGGGATTTTCCATACCTACAACTTTTGCTGAACCATTTTAGTGTGAAATCATGTTCAACCTATGTGTAATTTAATGATTCATCGTATTGTAGCAAAAGAGTTACCAAATTAATGGTCCAGAAGAGAACATTGTACTAATGCAATAAATAGAAATATATACATACTCAGATAATTAGTTGTTTGCTATCATTCATTACATACCAATATAATTGGATCTGGTCACCAAGTGAAAACATAATGTTACAATCATGATGTTGATTCTATATGTCAGCTTCCCACTACTGCTGAAACCACGAACGCAGTTAACCGATGGCCCTAGAGAGAAAATGCATCACTAAGTTTGGATATTTTAAATCTTTATAAATATTTGCCATATGTTTTTCATTACTTTTTCACTCACCCCTGGGTAAAGGAGGTGATTCCAAAGCCCGCCAGTAGACTGAGAGAAACTGTGCCACCGTTGCCCTGAAATATGAAATGAATTGTGTATCATCAATTAATATTGTCAACCGTGATGTAATTTAGTAAGATCTGTAAATTTTACTTTATTTAAAAAAAAATGTATGGCCTCAATTTAATATGTATATGACTTCTCAAATGAAATCAAGAAAAGATCATTTCTTGATTAACCCATAACTGCTCTATTTTCAAAGCATTAACAACCTACTCTAACTGTGGATTCTATTGCACCCTCAATCTCTGGGCAGTTGATTTAGCACCTTTCAGCTGGTTGCTGCTCACCTGTTGGACTACACTGACCTAAATTATTAGGAGTTCCAAGTCCTTGAAGCCACAACCTTCTGATTCTGAGGCAAGAGTGCTAACAACTGAGGCAGACTGACACACCAAGGAGATCAACAAAAAATTGCAACATATTCAACCAACAACAATTTGCATTTATATAGTGCTCTTCATTCCATCCCTATACTTCAATTTTTCAAGAGAATTTGACTTCAATACATACTCAAATGTAATAGAAGGAATACAAAGAGTTTCAGGTACTATCCATTCATATGTGCCATTGACAACGGCATTGGAGGCATGCGTGTGAGTAACAGCAGTTCCTTCTTTATTAAAGCACTAGGGGAAAAAAAAGATTTTTGAGTATATAAATATGTATGCACTGAAATATAGTGGGGGGAATCATTAAATCAAAACTATTATTTACCTTTAAAAGCTTGGAAAATTTAGGTGGATCCTTCCATCTTCCAAATGTTATTCGAGTGTTAGTCTTTCGAGCTTGTAACATAAATCCTCGGTATCTTCCTCCTATTATTGTAACTGAATATAATGTTATGATTAAAATTCTGTTCTCTAAAGTATTTAAAATCTTTCCATACATATCTAATATAGTATTGTTTCATTAATGTATTGCTCTATTGAGCTATTCATAAACTACCTGTAGTGTTTTCAAAATAAGTAATCACATGAAATACTTAACCTGTTGAGCAGTTATTGTGTACATAATAGTTGATTAATGAATGTTCTTATGAGTAAAAAAAAATCTCTAGCTGATTTTCCCCTTTAAATCTGAAGAGCTGCAGTTTGTTTAGCTTTTCCACAAAATGCATTACTCTACCACACCAGTTAACGTTTGCCAGAAAAGTCCAAAATATTAAATAATAATCCTGGCATCTGCCTGGACTATTCTGAAATGTTTCACAAAGAATTTCTTGACGTGTAATGACGGCTGTATTTGTAAGCAAACGAGGCACAATTTTTTAATTCAGCAAGATCCTATAGGCATTGATCATCATCATGAACAACAACAACAACAAAACTAGGTTTGTATAGCGCCTTTCACGTCAGGAGGAAGTCCCAAGGCGCTGGACAGTCAGTGCTTTGGACCCGGGATCGGGGAGAGTGAAGGGCAAGAGGGGGGAAGGAGGGTGATCAAAAGCACGGTCGAAGAGGAGGGTCTTGAGATGGGTCTTGAGGGTGGGGGTAGAGTGGCTGAAGGCCTGCCCGCCAATGCTGGGGTGGGCGAGGCGGAGGATGTGAAGCAGACCGGAGCCCGCCGAGCGGAGGGGGTGGGCGGGTTGGTAGGGGGTTAGGAGGTGGCAAGAGGTAAAGGGTGGTGTGTGGGGGGGGGGGGGGGGGGAAGGAGGCCATGAAGTGAAAGATCAATTGATCCAGACAACGGACTTCTCTTTTTAAATAGTGGCGCGGGATCTTTGCTGTCCGTCTGAGCCGACAGACTGACGCTATACACATGTCATTTGTTGTTGTTGTTGTTGTTGTCTATCTGGGGACTGTGAGCTTGAAGTGCCCCCCCACCCCACCCCCCAAAAAAAAAAAGGAGCTCGAAACCCACACACTTCTGCCCTGCCAGGCGGCTGTTGGAAGGAAAAGGTTTGACACCACAACGTATACCATTTACGGTCTTCCCGGGTATGTAGTGTTTGGCTTCGAATACCACGTCGTATATGCTCTTGTCGGACTGCGGCGGCCACGGGTGGCGAGGCTTCATCTTCTTACAGGCGGACAGAGGAGCCCCGGTCGCCAAACCGGCGGTCAGGCGGGCCATCTGCAGAATGGCAATGCAGCACAGCGTGAGGCAAAGGCAGACGGACATTTTTTTTTTTTTTTTTGGTCGTTGAGAGAGGCGACGCCCCCCCCAAAAAAAAGGGTGGTGGGGTGAGTGAGTGAGTGAGTGAGTGGGTGAGTGGTGGGGGGGAAGGCACGCGCGCCCGCCACGGAAGAGCTCGAGGGGCGGGAGAGGACGCGCGGCTCTCGGCCGCAGCCGTTAAATTCAAAACCTGCGCGCGAGCACCGCGTTGACGCATGCGCAGGTGGACCTGCAGCGTGAGGAGGGATGGCCGGGTTTGAGGGGGGGGGGGTGGGGCAATTGCTGGGAGGGGGCAATTGCTGGGAGGGGGGAGGGGGGTGGGGCAATTGCTGGGGGGGGGGTGGGGCAATTGCTGGGAGGGGGGGTGGGGCAATTGCTGGGAGGGGTGGGGCAGTTGCTGGGAGGGGGGTGGGGCAGTTGCTGGGAGGGGTGGGGCATTGCTGGGAGGGGATGGGGCAGTTGCTGGGGGGGGGTGGGGCAATTGCTGGGAGGGGAGGGGGCAGTTGCTGGGAGGGGGGTGGGGCAATTGCTGGGGAGGGGGGGGGGGGGCAATTGCTGGGAGGGGGTGGGGCAATTGCTGGAGGGGGGGTGGGGCAATTGCTGGGAGGGGGGGGGGCAATTGCTGGGAGGGGGGGTGGGGCAATTTCTGGGAGGGGTGGGGCAGTTGGGGGGGGGGGGGGGCAATTGCTGGAGGGGATGGGGCAATTGCTGGGAGGGGGGTGGGGCAATTGCTGGGAGGGGGGGGGGGCAATTGCTGGGAGGGGGGGGGGGCAATTGCTGGGAGGGGATGGGGCAATTGCTGGGAGGGGGGGGGGGCAGTTGCTGGGAGGGGGCATCGGGGGGGGGCAATTGCTGGGAGGGGACGGGGGCAGTTGCTGGGAGGGGACGGGGCAGTTGCTGGGAGGGGAAAGGGGGCAATTGCTGGGAGGGGAAAGGGGGCAGTTGCTGGGAGGGGACGGGGCAGTTGCTGGGAGGGGACGGGGGCAATTGCTGGGAGGGGACGGGGGCAATTGCTGGGAGGGGAGGGGGCAATTGCTGGGAGGGGACGGGGGCAGTTGCTGGGAGGGGACGGGGTAATTGCTGGGAGGGGAAAGGGGCAATTGCTGGGAGGGGAAAGGGGGCAATTGCTGGGAGGGGAAGGGGGGAATTGCTGGGAGGGGAAAGGGGCATCAGCTTGGACATGGATAAGAGGGAGAGCGACATTGACGGGAGGGGGCGGAGGCCTTGCTGGGGTGGGTGCAGGGCGCAATTGATGAGAAGAGGTTGAGGGTAATAATAATAAATAATCCTTGCGTTGGACATGGCGCCTTATCACGTCTTCGAGACGTCTGAAAGAGCTTCGGCACAAACCGCTCATCACGAGAGCACCCACCGGGGTAACCCACAGGCGCACCCAAAACCGACCAAAATAAACGTAAGGGTACAGAAGGACACTCGAGATGTAACCAAAGAGCGTCCCGAAAACGTATGTACGGCACATCGGGGGGCGGGGGGGCCTTCCGAAAGCGGCAATTGGGCCTTATCAGTGTGTGAGTGTCCCAAAAAACGTGCGCGCAACACCTATGTGCGGTGAAGGAAAACGACGGAAAGTTTTCTTGTATCGGGAGAAGAGGAAAAATTGTAACAAAAGAGGTTGTATGTTGGGGCTTGCCTTGGATTTCCGTTGCACTAACTATATTTATAAATAAATATATATTTTGGGGGAAAAAAAACGCTGTCAAGTGAATTGACTGTGTATTTTGTGGGGGAAACGCGACAGCCAATTTATGCACAACGATGTCCCACAAAGTCGTCGTTGAATGACCACATTTTGTTTTGAGCGATCTGCAAACCAACTAACCCTAACAACCAGGTTCCTACTTACTGCTGGGTACGCAGAGGCCATTGGCCATTTCTTGCCCAGTGTTTGTGAAAGAATCCTTCAGGTGGTACTTTGTCAAACTCCTTTTGGAAATCTTTGTATACACATCATATGGGTTGCCAAGTCAGTTGAGGATGCCACCTATATTATTTTGGTCAGACAAGATCTATGTGATTAAAATGACTCATTATAAATACGACGAAGCTCCTCTGTTCAAGGTACATAAATGCATGTTAAAAAAATGCTCCAGCCCAATGATTTTTTTGGATACAAATCTCTTTTATTGTTATAGCAAACTGTTAATGCGTAATATAACAAATGGAAATATGTACACACAGCATGATGACAGTTTGCTCATTCATTGCCTGTCAATGTTAATTTTATTAAGTAACTAGAAGAGAAACAAATAACGTCACAATGAGGTTGCCGATTCCATACGTAAACTTCATCTCACCACATGCAACGGACAGATCTAAAGAGAAAATACATCATTAAATTTTTATTATTTTCAATCTTTATTTTTAACATTTTTGGCACACGCCGTTTTATTTTGCTATATTCGACATCATCTAGTGGGAAACATTATCTGAAGACATTGTCTGAAGTAGTCCGGACACATGTTTAAAATGTTTAAATATTTAAATTTGGATTGAGTTCTTCACTCACCTTTCATTAAAGGTCTTGATTGAACATTAAGCCAATATACTTCACGAGATTGTGCCACCGTTGCCCTGGAAGATTAATTTGCTTGTGTGAAATACAGAAAATATTATCAATTAATACGTCAACCTGGGGTATGACTTAACATCTGATTTTCAACTTGACTGACTTCTAGCTCAATTTAATGTGACTGTAATTTCATAAGAACGCAGGAAAGCATGGAACAAGAAAAGTCCATTTGGTCTGTCAAGCCCATTCTCTAGCCCTGGAACATCTCAGCTTCCATGGACTCCAGCCCTATCCCTTAATCTCTCAGTGGATTGTCTGCACAAACTTCAATTCAGTTTATTTGAACCATATTGGGTTGAATGGGCCAAGTTATCAATTTCAGTGTTGCTTCATATTCAGCCTCTCCTAGGCCACTGCCAAATACTGTTTCAAGATATACTGCCCCTACACACACATGGCAACCAGAATCCCAGCAAATCAGATCCAAATTCATCTAGTCCTCCATCGGATCTGGGAGTAGATTGCTTCTCAACCAGGAAAGACGAAAATAGTAAATATTTTACACTTTTCTCATTTTGCTTTTTTGTTTCCGTTGTCTTTTAGTGTGACCTTTTGCTGTTGTAACTGTTTCATGCCGCTTGGGGGCACACACCAAACATTGTATTTTGATATTGAGATTGTATGAGCAAAGATTAGCGGGTAACATAAAAGGGAACCCTAAAATAATTTCTAAGCGTATAAAGAATAAAAAATTAGTCAAAGGTAGGGTGGGGCCAATTAGGGACCAAAGAGGAAATCTTGTTGTGGAGGCAGAGGGCATGGCTGGCATATTGAATGAGTACTTTGCATCTGTCTTCACAAAAGAAGAGGATGCAAGCAATGCAACAGTATCAGAGAAATTGGACAAGATAAACTGAGAGAAGGTACTAAAAAGGTGGATGGTGCTCAAGGTAGATAAGTCAGCCGATCCGGACGGATGCATCCTAAGTTACTGAGGGAAGTAAGGGTGGAATTTCAATCCTCCTTGAACACCAAGGTGGTGCCAGAGGACTGGAGGGTTGCAAATGCTACTCTCCTATACAAAAAGGGGCAGAAGGATAAACCCAGGAACTGCAGGTCAGTCAGCCTAACGTCAGTAGCGGGGAAACTTCTAGAGACTATAATTCAGGACAAAATAAAATTTCACTTAGAAAAATATGGGTTAATAAAGGACAGCCAAAACGGATTTGTTAAAGGCAAATCGTATCTAACAAACCTGATAAAGAGNTTTTTGATGGAGTAACAGAGAAGGTGGATGAAGGTGTTGCAGTTGATGTAGTTTAGATGGATTTTCAAAAGGCGTTTGATAAAGTGCTACATAAGAGACTTGTAAGCAAAATGGAAGCCCCCGATATTAAAGGGGTAGTGGCAGCATGGATACAGATACAGCACGGGAGACAGAAAGCAGAGAGTGGTGATGAACGTTTGTTTTTCTGACTGGAGGGAAGTTGCAATGGTGTCCGCCAGGGGTCCGTGTAGGGGACAATGTTGTTTTTGATCTATATGAGTGATCTGGACCTGGTTATAGGGAATACAATTTCCAAGTTTGCAGAGGATACTAAGCTAGGAAAAGTAGTAAACGGTAAGGAGAGGTCACAGACAGACTGGTAAAATAGGCAGACGCGTGGCAGATTAAGCTGTCAAACAAGCATACAGGATACTAGGCTTTATAATGAGGGGCATAAAACCTCTATAAAACACTGGTTAGAATTCAGCTAGAGTACTATGTTCAGTTTTAGGCACCACACTTTAGGAAGGATGTCAAGGCATTGCAGAAGGTGCAAAGGAGATTGACCAGGATGGAACCAGGAATGAGGCACTTCAGTTATCAGGAGAGGCGAGAGAAGCTGGGATTATTGTCCTTGGAGCAGAGAAGGTTAAGAGGAAACTTAATAGAAGTTTTCAAAATTATGAGGGGATTTGATAAGGTGAACAGGGAGAAATTATTTCCACTGGCGGGTGGGTAGGTAACCTGAGGACACCGATTTAAAATAGTTAAAAGAAACAGAAGGGAGGTGAAGAGAATTTTTTTCACACAGCGAGTTGTTTGGATCTGGAATGCATTGCCTGAAAGGGTGATGGAAGTCGATTCGATAACAACGTTTAAAAGAGAAATAGATAATTATTTGTGAAGGACAAGTTTGCAGTGCTGTGGGGAAAGAGCGGGGGAATGGGATTGATTCGGATAGCTCTTTTCTTAAAGAGCCGCCACAGACACGATGGGCCGAAGGGCCTCCTTCGGTGCTGTATAATTCTATGATATGCATAAAGGCTGGGACATGTCCTGTAGGAAGGGAGAGTGAATTAAAAGATTGGCTTGGACAGACAAGGATATACTGTTTCACTACCTATGTACTCTACTATCTCATCCAAGTGGCTGTTCTTCATCCGTGAGGCTGAGCAATGTGCTTGAACTGACTATTTAACAACAACAACAAAATTACATTTGTAAAGCGCCTTTCACGTTGGGAGGACATCCCAAGTCGCTGGACAGACAGAGTGAACCATGGACCATGAACAATTTAACAATGGACAATATTACAGCCAAGCCTTATCGTGTCCCTACCTGCCATTCACACACATTATTTTAATAGGTCATTAAGTTGAAATTTAAGTTTCTGTAATGGTTATCTGATCTCAGCCAAGACAGTTATTTTAGGATCTTATAATGGGCCTCATCAGTACTTGGGTGAAATCAGCCCGGCTCTAGGTTCCAGATCATAATTCAGCAAACCATGGGCATTGAATGAGACTTTACCTACAAAATATACAGTCAATTCACTTTATAGTATATTCTGTGAAGCACTTAATGACGTCTCAATGAGAAGTCATATAGATGCCTCAATAAGGCACACACAGAGACGCCTCAATAAGGCACTATATCAATTGCAAAAATTATTATTATTGGCTGAAAACAAAGGTTTTATGCGATATGAAATGAAATGAGTATACTCAGCAAAACGTAGGAGCAAATGACCATTAGTAACACGAAAACTTTATCCCCAATGCATTGACAGAGTTCGGAAGATGTTTTGGTGCATAAATTCTAAAATTCACTGTTGACTCTGTGGATTTAAATGCAGTACCTACATGAATCTAATGGAAGTAGAACAGAATGAATCCGGTGGGATCCATACATATGTGGTTGAATTGCTCTTGGCATTGATGTTTGAGTGGGTAACTGCAGCCATCGGGTTTTCAGAACACTGAAAAAAAATCATATACGGTATTGGAATAAATACATGGGTGCTGATACAGAGAGAGAAAAAAAAACATTAAAAATAAGCAATGAATTACCTGTAACAATTTGGTGTTTTCATGTGGGTTCTGCCACGATCCGATTGGAGTGGGGTCTCCATCCCTTCGAGCTTCCAGCAAAACTCCTCGATAATGGGGTCCCAGTATTGCAACTAAAAACACAAAACTTATGATGGTCAATAGCTTTTACAAACCTTACACACATGTCTAATGCAACTTTAACGTTTAATCTGCTGCTCTATTGGGCTATTCATAAACTACTTGCGCAATGCTGGCATAATAAATAGTCACATGAAGAAACACATTGGGAATCTGTTGAGCAACTGCGTGTATAATAGTGGGATAATGAATGGTCATATGACAAATAGATACCACACATGTCACATTCTGTGTAGATTTAAAAAATGATTTATCTTCTATTTTCTTTTTTAAAAAAATAAAAAAACAAAGGGCAGCAGTTTTTTTTTACAACCACCATGGACTCTTTGAAGTCTCCCTCACAGCAAAGTCCACCGTGTAACAAATGCTGAGTTCCACCTCACACACTGAAATGTTCTATCGAATGGCTCTCGAAAAGTTCAGAGAATTAATATGGATTGCAGATGCGAAAGTTGGCTGTGGGGAAGCACTTAATTGGTGAATGGAAAGATAACAGCAACACACCATAGCCTAAGCAACTGCAGAGAAAAAGAGAGGGAGAGAGAGCAACTTTCGAGACAAAGGAAACCAACCTGTCTATGGCAAAGAGAGCCTGTAGCTGCAACCATCATTTAAATTACTGGGAATCCTTGTCCTTATTTGATACCTTTTACATAATGCTTTCACATTCTGTGCTATATATGTCTACATACTATCTCTGACAATTTAGTTAAATCATCAACAGTGACAAACATTCAATTTATGGAAATGAGATATAGGCAATTGGTAACAACAACTCTTGTTTCTACCGTCCAGGGGAAAAGGGCCTTTTGAAAGAATCAACAAAGATCTAATTCTTTCGGGCAGCAAATATATTTTCATTGGCCTGAATGCAGTAATTTCTTCATCACACTATCACACATTAAATTTGACTGCTCTCTGGAAACGAACCATTATTATCCTAGAGGTGAAAAATTCATTAATTCTTAGCCTAAAAGATTGATCCGTTTTAAAATTCAAGATCACACAATTATACTGTTAAAACCCTGCATTTTGATATAGTTTTATCTCGTCATCAAGGCATCTCAAAGCACTTCACAAGGTATACTGTAGAGCGATGTAACTGTGTATAATGTGGGGAATCGCAATAGTGTAATTATGGAGGGATTTTAAATTCAGCCTTCATTTAAAAAGTGGATGTTTTACAGAAGACTGAAGCTGTTGCAGCGTTAATGTCGTTAGGTTTTACTGGGAAATGAACAATTCTGTTGAACGAAATAACTACATACCTTGTACTGCCTTCCCAGGTTGGTAGACGCTTGTAGCAGTATCAATAGTGTAAGGTGCACGGCTAGACTGTGGCACAACTCCGGAATGTATTGGCTTCATGCTCTTGCATGCTGACGTAGGGGCACCATTAGGAAAAGCAGTAATCAGACTGGGAAACTGCAGAAACCAAATGCAGCACAGAGTTAACAAATTCCACCCAGCCATTTCTGACATTGGATGTCTGATCTATGCAGCCTACTACATCAAATATGTACATCAGGTTCGAAAAGTTCTCGGGGTGGGGTGGGGGGGGGGGGGGGGGGGGCAGTGCATTTTGCTGACTCATTCATAATAATAAAACTCTTTCTTCCATAGTTTTCAAATTCCACCTTTCATGCTTGACAATAATTATTCAGTCATAAAGTATTAATCAATTAACTTATACTTGCAAAAATATTTCAAACAAATAGATTCGAACAAAGGAGCTATTTGTACTTTGTACTTATCCCAGAATTTGGCATTAATTTCAAGTATCATCCAGTGTGTACTGAATTTATACTAAACAAAACTAGCAAATGACATATTTCGTAAAAAGATGGAGTGAAGTTTTTCAGAATGACTCGGCTTAAAATACTTAAGGTACTTCATAACTGTCACAAGGAATGAGTTATGAGATTCCACACATTTAAAAGTCTTTGATAAGGGAAATAAGGAAAAACTATTTCCACTGATTAGACAGTCAGTAACTAAAAGTCATGAAGTTTAGGGCCATCAGCAAAAGATAGGAGAATTTTCTTTAGACAGAAAGTAATTTTCTTTAGAATACAGACACAGCTTCCAAAACGGTGATTGAAGCAGAATCCATAATAGCTTTTAAGAGGGAATTGAACATAGATTTACAAAAGTAAAATATAAATAGTATTAGAAAAGGTCAGGGGCATGGGTCTAGATTCAAGAGCCCTGTTAAAGACACATTGGGTCGAATGGTCTCCTGTTTGAATAAATCTGTGATTCTGTCATACCTAAAAAGGGATAAATATTCCAACATGAAACCTGCAGTTTAGTTGAAACAGGAGCCTTTGCTGGAATGCAAACTTCTCATGGATGGGAAGGGATTTATGTCATCAGGTTTGTCCTCATACAAAGCGCTCTTGTGGAAATAGAGATGCATTTCATGGGGTGGTGGGGGGGGAGAGTTTCAGCTTCTTCCCTCACAACCCTCTTACTGTTATAATATTGGAAAAATTATGCAAAGCTAAGGCCGATGTTGGAAGTGAAACATTTCAGAAAGGCAAAAAAAGAGACAGTGAGAAACTTCAATCTCATTATTTCTGGCTGCACCTGTTGTCTTAAACTGCAAACTGAAAAATGCTTTTTAATCTGCTCTATTCTTTGGCTAAAGCCTTTTTTGTTATAATACTTAAGAGGAGATTTTAAGATGAGTCATTCTGAATAACAAATCCATTTTGAAGTACCCTTTGCGAGCACAATCATAACCTTTTTCAGTCATGCTGCCTTGCTCAGTTCGAGAGATGCTATTGCGAGCATTTGGATCATCATGTGCTACAAAGATAAAGGAGTTCTTTATTAAGGTTGCTCTTATGTTTGCTATCTCCCACTGGTTTCTATTAAAGGCAGCTTTTGTACCACATCTCGCCAGGGGCTACAGCTCATCTTTTCCAAACGTCAACAAAGGATAAAAGTGGAAGTTTAAAATGTTAATATTGTTAATGTTTGTGAGATTACAGTGCAAACTCTATGTGGCACTCTTATGAAAATATCTATCACACGTACACAGACACCTACACACACACACACTTACATACACAATCATGCACATGCACAAAGTAGATACATAGGCACATATACAAAATAAACACACAGACAACTGGTGCAATGGTGTAAAGCCCTGGAATAATCTGCAGTGCACTATAGTACATTCTGAAATCATTGATACTAAAGCTGTGAAACAGAACAACCTCCAAACATAACAGGAGTAAATGTGTTTAAACTACATACAAATAGTTATCTCTGAGGTGAGGAAAATAGTCCAGTCAAAATAATGTCAGTGTTTCAAAGGTGTTACATATAGGTCATGGTTTGGTGCTGCACGACACACTGGATTTCAGGAGCTCAGTCATTAGTAAAATTTGTCTTTTCCTTTTTGCATCTACTATATTTTTAAACTATTCCTAACCTTCTGTGCCCAAGTAGTGTAAGGTTGCAACAAGCAAAGAGGATATTCCACTGTGATTTTGTACCTTTTTAAATGAGTTCAACTTTCCAGGATTACTGTTGAGACTGTATTGTGCTTTGATCAGACAACGCATGTAGCTTTGCTTCCAACTTTGGTAGCCATGACATAAGGGGCTACCCAGACAATAACAACTTGCATTTATATGGTGCCCTTCATGGAGGGCAGTGTCTTGGAGAGCTTCAGGCATTGGCAGCAATGCAGAAGAGAACAACTAGGCCAATCCTGATTTTTTTTAGGGTTAAACTAATAGGGACAATTATATAAGATTAGGCTGAATGGCCTTGAAACGACTAGTCTCAGACCAGACCTTATCTGAAATATATATTGGGATACAGGGAGCAATCCCAGAACAATACCATCAGATATTCTAAGCTAACAGGACGAGAAGGCGTAAATTCAGGGTTGCGAAATTATTTTATCATGCTAATATTGAAGTCCTACATAACGTTGTTAGTGGTTAATCAAAATTAATTAATTAAGCCTCACCTGATTAACAATTTAGATTTCCAAAT